AATATATATATATATTTTTTTCATTTTCAAGCGAACAGCGAACAAAACTTTCATACAGCAAGAAAACAGAAGCTTTCACTTTCTAGTATGATACACGATAGTACACGCATATTGTTCTCGATGATATCATACATCTTTATGAACACTTTACAAGACTGTGTTACTCTATCTTCTCCGAGCACGAGTCATGGCAAGAGCGATCGTTTATATAAACAAAATACAATAATTCTTTAATCAAGGATTTCCGAAATGGTCTTAAAACAAATCCGTGAAGATTATTGTGTCTCGTTTCTCCTCGTTATTCTTTAAATGACTCTTCTCTATTTTCGTTTTTGGGGAAGGAGGGGGGGGGGGGGGGGATTTTGTCACGTAACATAATAATTCAAAGCACAATCAAACTCGTAGGTTCATGTTTTGGTAGTAAAGATGGTTGGTTCGTTATTTTTTCTTCTTCAAGTAATCTGTATTTGGAAACTTAGACGAGGAACTGGTAATTTACGAATTTTAAACAATTTGAAACAGAATGTATACAACAAAACCCACGGTTGCAAAATGTAATGTTGCAAGGTTTATTTCCTTTTTGGCCACTGCTTTCCTCACTTTTTATAATTCATCTTATGTATTGTCATACATTTGTCTGTTTTATATATATGTATTTTTATCTGTCGATCTCTTGAGGAGAAATAAATTAAACTGAAACTAAACTCCGAAATGGTTTGAAAATCGACAATTTCAAGGGTCTTTAAGTTTCAAGTCTCAATATTGTGTTAATTCAGGCTCATAGCAAAGACATCAATTATTCAAGTACCGGATCCTTCTGATAGGACTGCAAACGTTTGGTGATTTCATACATATATCTGAAAGCATATATCCATTTTTTAAATTAGCACTCGGGTACAAGTAATAGTCCGTCAATATAATCGTAACTAAAGCAAACAATACACGACAGAAAATAACAATGATATCAGATACAAATAATGACTGTAATGTTGATTATGATGCTGTAGATTACGATGTTGTTGGTGATGATGACAATGATGATGATCATGATTGTTATGACGACGAAAATGAAATTGATAATTGTGGCAATAACGATTATTAAAAATAATCACAAAGGAACGTTCTGTTATTTTTCTTCGTAGCCTCTAATCCAGTCGTTTCTTCCAAAGAAGCACCCAACTATGGCAGCATCACAGTACGACAAGCTACGGGAGAAAAACAAGAAGTACCCTAACATCGATAACCATTATAAGTACAACCGGTTGGTAATGGAGGATACATGTACAGCTCTGTATGGTATTATACTCCAAGATATTAGGATGGGGAAGGCGGAACTCCTTAAGGAATCCAAGTTTATCCAGGGACGTCTTTATGAGACATTGACTTATATCCTTGAGAGACAGGGCAAGACTCTAGACCAGGTAGGCTATGGTATGTCATAATTATAGTAGTATTAATAGTTAAAGGGGGTGTAGCATGGCAAATACTGGTTCACGCCATCTACGTCTTCTTTTGGACAACTGCTCGTAAACCAATGGACTTGATTAACGGTCAGCGCGCGCTATAGTGTTCGCGAAACAGGCGAAGTTCTGATCACGCTTCGGTATGGCGTATGTTGCACGTACGTGAATACTGCGATCGCGTCGTCCGATTGGTCCCGAGTCAGGCCACGGGAAAGACGCGTAGCCTCGTCACGCTACAACCCCTTTAAGATATCTACATTTATATTGTATACGTGTCCGTCCCAGAGGATGCTCGAGGCGCCTTCAAAATAATACATGGCTTTAGTCTAGCTGCCCTAAGACACTCAAAGCATTCAAGGAATAAATTCCAACCCATCTAATATCAAAACATACCGGGCAGCTACAGCACGGAATGTCAAGGGGGATTTGGTATAGGTTTTTGTCAAACGGAGGGGAGTGGCACAATAATTCTGATAGTTCCTAAAAAGCTAGGATGAAAAAAACACTTTTATTTACCCATACAGGCAGTACATGCCTCTGAATCACGAAAAAACACTATTTGAATTTATTAGTAGATTTAAGACGACTTATGAAATATCAACCGTGCAATTTTAATGAAGTTGGCAACATACACCAACAATAAATTACGTCATTTTTTCTAACATTGTCTTCAATGACCAGGTCATGATGGAGTTCGAGCACCCTAAGATGAAGTACCTTCGTAGTCGTACCATCGTTCAACCTCGGATTGACATGATTCTCGCCCAGCAGGAGCCCCAACAGCAGCTGATCTCCGCCATCTTGATCCGTAAACGAACAGCGGGCTATGAACCCGACGTCCGCAGTGTTCGCTCCGACATGGCCAGGTAACCCCTCCCTGCGGTGGCGTAGCTACTATTGGGCATGGGGACCCCCACCCCACCCCCATTAAAACAAAGGAAAACTAGGAAGAGAAAGTGAGGATAAGGGAGGACATGAAAAGAAGATGACTTGAAGTCCTCGCACATTCCAGCCCAATCAATGGCAATTTTAATTTGCATTTAATTCACCGAGTAAGGCTGGCGCCCCCCCCCCCCCATGATGCACATGCCTCATCGATATCTGGAATGTTTGGTTCATTTTTATACGCTACCGAACTCCTGTATACTTTTCATTTATGTCCTGAATAATTTTCTTTACAAATTATTATAACAAGCATTATACCTATCGCATGCGTGTTTTTTTTTACTGCTGACGTAGGAGTGTGTCAGAGGCTGGCGCAATCTTTGATGCACCTCGTGGGAGTTACACCATTGTACAAGAAATAAAAAAGTAACACGATTCCATTCTCCATTCAGGTTAGCCTACCTAATCCTCGAGAAGGTCTTCCGTTTCGCCTTCTACATCTGGATCGGCACGCTGGACGAGCTCCGGCACGAGCAGATGACAAGGAGCTTGACCACGCTGTGCGAGGCCGAGGGCGAGATCAAGAACCACCTCGTCCTCCGTAAGCACACCCTGGTCATGCCGCGGATCGGGAAACCCATTCCCTCAACGTTCATGACGACGCTCCTAGTCAATAAGATCTCGCCTGATTTCTGCGTGCGACTCTACAGGGTGGAACCAGAGTCGTCCATGTGGGATGATAGAGAGGATGACGTCACAAGGTGATGTTATTTAGGAGTCTGTAAACGAACATGTAGAGTACCGAAGTGTGACGTCATATTGGCCAAGTTCTGTTCTTTTTAACCGCATATGGATTAGATCTTCCACAGCACTGTACATTTATATCTGAACAACTTCAAAGTACAAAGATACACCGACAACATGGTGGCCTGTACTTCAACAGAAGAAGAAAAAGAAGTTGTCAAGGTTGCTGATTCCAAAGAATCTTGTGCTAAACAATAGCGCCAAACACTGAATTCGCCCTGTACCAGTCCGTTGCTTGAATGATTTCCAGGGGAACCTCATGCACAAGCTCTGTTGTTTGGAACGAGGAACCGGAACGAAAAGCAAATATGGCATTAGCACTTCGGTACTCTACAGTGCGTCGCAGAAAAAACGAACCCGAGAGTCATCGATGTTTTATAACTTAATCAAAATTATAATTAATAAATGACACATGTTTGTAAAGCTTAGATCCTCCTCTTTCATTAGTGTAACCCATATGATGCATATTTCACGCATGAGTGATTAAAAACAATTTGAAGAAAGGGTACCAAAAATACATTTGGCGGACGGTATCTGAATTTCAAAGAGGCAATCACCATCTAGAAAGTTCATTTTTTGCCCTTTCAAATGACACCTAAAGCCAGGAATAACAAAGTTCTGTTTGTTCAAAGTAATGATTGCATTTCCATAATTTTATTTTTAAACGACTCCCGTCTACTGGTTGTCTGCCCTAACAACAAAGGAGACGAAAGACTTCATGCATGGCTGATCGTCAACGAAACGGGGATTGTTGTTTGTTGCTACGGCAGGCAGCCAGTAAAAACGACTTGGTTTCGAACCCGCGACCTCCCGGTTAAGAGACTCTACCACTGAGCCATCGCGATGAGGCTACAGTATAATTATACTTTCCGACCGTTAACACATAGCCTATGTTTCTTGTCTCAATCTTTTTTCAACAGGTTACATGAGTTTTATAGCAGTAATTCTCAGCTGAATACAGGCTATGGTATGTGGGGTATAAGCGGTCAGATCAGTAACGTTAGAAACCAAGTCAAGAAAGTACGAGATTATGTCGAGGTAAGATCATCATCATTACTGATGTCATCATCATTATTATCTCCTTGATTATTCACTGTGAATTGCCATTTGACATTCATATATATATTTTGTAATCTAATGTAAACGTAAATGTATTTTACCAAATCGATTTTTTTATGTTATGTATTTGTATGTGTCAATCTTTTGTAAATTCAATTTGTTTCACCCTCTGGCTGCTATTTTGAATGTACGTTTTTATCTATAAACCATATCAAATCAAATCCAATAGTATACTAGATTTATAAATCAACATAAATCAACATTCAAAAATTACAAAAATCACTATACCTTTAATAGGGAGTTATATAGTAAGGCGAGGAAAGCACAATCTCATATTTTTAGAGAAATTTGGATCGGTCGTCTCGTTGTGACTGGGAGATTATGCAAAGATTTTTTTTTTCATTTACAAATGACCTTAATTTATCATCCAGGTTGAAATAATTTATTATACGTTCAGTCTTCAAATTGTCTGTCCAGTGTCGCAAACAATAGGGTCTCTTTGTTGAACGAGCCACGATCGCATGTCGGCCAATAAAATATTCGTTGAGATCGGCGAATTCCATGGCGTTTGTAAATACAGCCACCAAACATCACGTGACATAAGACCGTAGCAACGGAATGAATACATGATATCCGATGGTAAATGGTATTTAGCTGGGCATGTTTATGAGTTCATGTTTTATTAAAAGTAGTGACTATGTGAGAGCATGGACCTACTACGGTGAGAGGGAGGCTCCGCTCAGAATTCACAAGTATTACCATTATCGGGGGGGATCATGGGGGTGCAATTGGTGGATCCAAAATATTGTTGACGGGGAGAGGGAGAGATTGGGAGGGCAGAGGGAGGGCGGGGCAGGGGCAGGGGGAGGGGAGGGGGAGGGGGAGGGCGAGGGGAGGGGAGGGCGAGGGGGCCCATGGTCAAAGTGAGCTGAAAAGGGAAAGCGGTTAGATGGAGGAGAAGGGATGTTCTCTGAGCCCCCTATTGGAAGTGTTAGCGATTTTAAAATAGTTTGTTTTTTTCCTTACAGTCCTTTATCCGCCTCTATTGATGATTTCATTAAAACGAATTTGTATACAGATTTAAATAAAAGTGTGTTTTAAATGAGGCGTATTATATATGAGAGTTTCATTCAAAATGTAATATGTCTGTTCACAATTCTCAACAATTTTTCAAGTTATAAAAAATTTATTTTCAAGGTTGGTTAAAAATAACGCCTCTAGAGCACAAAGTCGCAATATCATCTGAACAACTATGTCGTTCGTCAGTTTGGGCGCATGAAATTCAATTACTGCCAGTGAGTGCTCTAAATCGATAAAATACACATTAAAATGAAAGCCAGACGAATAGCTCAGACATTATATTGACATTGTAAACGGGCGCAACCTTTCAATATGTTATGTGGCTTCATAATATTACGGGGTAGACATTTTTAGTCATGAACTTAGACAAGAGACTACTTAAAACGATTCGACGTTGAATCAAATTGTTAGTAAGGCCGCAAATTTGTCTTTTTTGTTTACATGTCACTACTTATATCATACAATGTGCATTGTGTAAAAACCTTTCAATATATTCTGTGGCTTCATAATATTACGGGGTAGACATTTTTAGTCATGAACTTAGACAAGAGACCTACTTATAACGATTCGACGTTGAATTATATTGTTAGTAAGGCTGCAAATTTATCTTTTTTGTTTTCATGTCACTATAGGAATTTGATATAACATGTTACCATAATAAGCACAAACCATTCAATCAATCAATCAATCAATCAATCAATCAATCAATCATTCAAACAAATCGATTTCCCTTTCGCAAGAGAAATATAATCGCAAACATAAGTATTCATAGAATACGTAATTGCTCATTTATATGTATACTATTATGATATGCAAGACTGCTGAAATAAAATTACAGAGTACAGCTAGGTCCATACATCCTGTGTCATGTTTCATATTATTCATATACTAATTGTATATCAATTTCCATGACAACCGCTTGCCTCAACATCAAGTCAAATGTTTCATGTCAAATAACGCCTGGCTGGAATGCTCCCCAGGGAGTGGTGATTGTACACCCAGTGTGTGCGGGCCAGTATTGAATCCAATGACCGGGTTAATAGTATATCTGTAAAGCGCTTAGAGACATCATAGCGCTATATAAAAGCGGAATTATTATTATTATTTTATTATATTTTGTTTTCCCACTTTCCGATTAGGCAAGTCTGTTTGACCGTGCACGTGCTATGCTGATGATGGCGAGGGTGATGTTCACCGATCTCCTGGTCGTGAAAAGCCTCGAAAAGGACGACGCCGAGGAGACCGACTACCTCAAGCACCTCCTGGATGAACTTAAAGTCGAGATCCACCAGGAGCTGGAGAAAAGAGAAGGACAATCAACATCGGAATCGGATGAGAGTGATGACTAAGACGAACAAAAAAAGACTTTCAAAGCGACAACGTAGAAAAATAGAACGAGAGGGAAGGAGGGAGGGAGGGAGAAAGAGGGGGAGAGAGGGGGAGAGGGGTAAAAAGAGAGACAGATAGAAAAAGAGAGGGAGAGAGAAAAAGAAAGAGGGGAGAGGGAGAGAGAGAAAGAGAGAGAGGGGGTGGGAGAGGAAGAGAGAGGGGGTGGGAGAGGAAGAGAGAGAGAGAGAGGGAGAGAGAGAGAGGGAGAGAGAGAGAGAGAGAGAGCGAGCGAGAGAGAGAGAGAGAGAGAGATGAGCCTATGTATTATGCAATCGTTGATTATAATAATTGTTCGTTAACAATTACTTTCTTTGCCTTTGTATTGTGTACATAATCTGTGAGTGTATCTTAGTAATTAAATAAACATATTTCTTTTACATTGAAGCTTCTTTGAGATGGTTTTTAATGTATGCGCAGAGGATGTGTATGATCATGTTATTCTAACATCATTTTATTGTGTAAAGAAGTTACGAATTTCTTCTTAAAGCAAGACGCAGTCTGTGCTAATGAAATTTATGATAATTCTACAGCGTCATTTTTCTCCAAATTTCTCCAAAGAAATATCTAAGGAGAGAAGAGAGGGGAAATATCATGAAAGACGTGAGGGATAGAGTGAGTAGATAGGGGATGGAGAGAGAGAGAGAGAGAGAGAGGGGGTGTGATGTAGAGGGTGATGATGATGAGAGAGAGAGAGAGAGAGAGAGAGAGAGAGAGGAACGAATGTAAATGAAAGTGGGAAAAAAGTCTGAGACAGGAAGAGGAACGGAGGGGGTAGAGAAGAGAGAAGAGAGGGAGGGAGAGAGAAGAGAGGGAGGGAGGGAGAGAGAGAGAGTGAGGGAGAGAGAGAGAGAGAGAGAGAGAGAGAGAGCGAAAGGGATGTGGACATTGCCATTATATTAAAAACATATGCAATTAATTATGTGACACTTGAACAACTCAATAATACTCAGTGACATCACTTATTCACTATTTATTTATCATGCCATATTTATTGATAAATACAAATGAAAAGAATGAATAGATTAATGCGTAATTCCATGAGAAGAAAAAGCCTCCCAAATAACTAACGTCCTGAATTACTTTCAGGTCTAACACTGGAAGACTTCTTCTGTCTGTTCATATAATTACCAACAATCTGTCGGAATTGTACATATCTAAAACTACACCACATCACAACTCATGGTTAAACCACGCCCTAAAGCACCCGTTGAGGTAAGTTAAATACAAGGGGGGGGGGGGGGGGGGGGGTACTCACATATTAGGACATACGGGGATGTGCCGCTCTAATGGGTCAATTTTTCACACAAAAATCCCTAAACATGGGTCCCACTTTTAAAAAAAAATACCATTAAATATGGGTTCGTTTTCACAAAATTTGCATAAATGTCGGGTGCTTGCCATGCAAACACCCGAAAAACACTCGAAAATGAATGTGGGAAAATTATTTGTCTTTTTTTCGATAAAAATGACCCAAAATGATCCCTAATAATGGATAGGGATAGGGGTTTCGAGGCTTGAGCGGCACACCCCCGTCCAAACCAAATCTGAGTACCCCTCCCCCCCCCCCCCCCCCCCGGATATACTCAGGCTTCTCGGAAACATGTTGAAAATTTTATCCCACATTTTCCTAAGCAGTGACTAAAACATTAAAAAGCATAATTGAAATAAATTATAGACAAGGGAAACGCTCTCGGCGGTCTCGCCTGCATAACGCAATTCAATATGATAAACCAGAACGTCAATGACGTAGCGCTCATCCGCATCTCACAACAACAAATATCGTAAATTTTATGTGGTACACTTTTGAACTGGTCAAAAAATAGAAATTTGATGCCCTGGAAGGGACATAATTTCATTTCATTTGCATAAAGTACCATAAATAAACAATGGAGCAAAATCTCACAATTCTGTGTAGAAGTTTATTGTTCCAAATTTAGCTCTACCAGATAAGGCAAAATCGGTCAAGAAATGAGGGAAAAGAAGCAATTTTTGTTATTTTTGGAATAAATTTGCATAAATTACCATAATTAATTAATGGAGAACAATTTCAAAATTCTGTGTAGAAGTTTAGTGTACCAAAGTTAGCTCTACGATATAAAGCAAACCAAATCAAAATCGGTCGAGAAATGAAGGAGAAGAAGCCTTTTTTGTGATTTCGAATAAATTTGCATAAATTAGCATAGATAATGAATTCACGATTCTGTGTAGAAATTTTAAATCCCCTCCTAGCCCTATCATATGAAACAATCAGAATCAAAATCGGTTGAAAAATAACGAAGAAGAAGCATTTTGAAAATCTTAAGGTTGATGCCACAACAAGGTCTTAGTTTGTTGACCTTAAATGGCCTTTGACCTTAACTTAGTGACCTGAAATTCTACTCACATGATTGGGGAGACTTGATAACCCTATAGTCCAAGTTTCATTGACTAAGAACTTATACTTTCAAAATTATATCAAAAATTAAAAAACTTAACCTTAGGTTAAGTTTTCGATGATGATGCTACAACATAGTCCAAGTCTGTTGACCTGAAATGACCTTTGACCTTGACTTTGTGATCTGAAATTCTACTCACATGATTGGGGATACTTGATTACCCTAAAGTCAAAGTTTCATTGACTAAGAACTTATACTTTAAAAATTATACCAAAAATTCAAAAACTTAACCTTAGGTTAAGTTTTTGATGTTGACGCCGTCGCCGTCGCCGTCGCCGTCGCCGTCGCCGCCGCCGTCACCGGAAAAGCGGCGCCTATGTCTCGCTTTTTGCTACGCAGGCGAGACAAAAAATGAATGGCAGATCCAGATGACTGCAATGTTATGTGGAAAATGGGTATAAAAAGGAGAAAGATGATAATAGACGAAAAGGGCATGTCAGACCCCCTCCCCTCTCTCCCCCCTCTCTCTCTCTCACTCTCTCTCTCTCTCTCTCTCTCTCTCTCTCCCCTCTCTCTCTCTCCCTCTCTTACTCTCTCTCTCTCCCTCTCCCCTCTCTTTCTCTCTCTCTCTCTCTCTCTCTCTCTCTCTCTCTCTCTCCACTGAGTGAGTCTGGGAGATCTAATGGGACTTCCCCGCCCCTCCATTTCTGTCCATCCTGGATCCGCCCCTAAAATATTAAAATATTAGAGAAAAGAGAAACGGCTAAAGACACGCAATGTGACGGACTCCATGGACAGAATTTGTATTAAAAAAATATTATTGACAACAACAAAATTTGAAAAATATTTGGTAATAGAGATTTAACAAAGAAACCAGACTGAACTTCAAAAAATAAAAAGGTCCTCATCATTTCTGGGAGATAGATTAGATCAAAACGTTTCCAAAGTTTGTCAATTTTCACCTCGTTTTAGGGTACCTATGCTTACTCTCTTTAGATCACATCATATGTTAAAGTAGTTATTTGGACAATACTAAACATACACATATGCCCTCATAAGAGCAAACATTTAACAATATTTTTGAGGTTGACCAAGTCTTCTTTAAAGACAATGGCGCTTGTGATGAAGTTGTTCCGGCCAAACAGACCTAGTTTGTTTTCAGAGGACAACATTTTCATTGCCGTTGAAATCTCATTGTACAAAACACCTCTTTCGAAAATGAAGTAAAGAGATCGAATTACATGTAAACAGTCAGCAATTCACAGTGACTACAGCGTAAGAAGAGGATAGTTCACGAGACCTACGGTATTTTCTGACGATTCATTAGACTGAAGTCCCAGAGACCGACATGTCGGTTTCTTGGGCTTCTGACAACTTTTCTGAGGGTTCGTGATACCGACATTAGGGACTTTTAGATTATGCACGACGAGAACGTGGACTGCCCTTTTAAGGCAATGTGACGTCCTTTTAAGGCACTAGCAGTGACGTCACATTGCCTTAAAAGGGCAGTCCGCGTTCTCGTCGTGCAGAATCTAAAAGTCCCTATTATCGGATGTCGGTCTACAACAGCATTGTTACCAAGGAGTCCAGTTGCCGATGTTCTCAAATTGGGAGTTAACATCCATTTCGCTTGGAACTGTTCGGCAGTCCTTGTACCAAGCCGAATCCCCGATTAATTTTAATTCATTCGATGGTCTCGGGTAGATATGTGGCAGTGTCCTACAAAGAGTTCCAGGGTGGTGCGGGAAGGAAGTAACAACTTCTCCATGGCGACGCCAATCGTGGTATTGCCTGTAAAGAGTCTTGTTTTTGTCCACCTGCTTCAGATAGTCGGCCGCCTCTTTGATGCTCTTAAAGTCGGTGAAGTGGACGAAGGAATTTGGGGGTGCCAACTGCTCATAGTCCTCTCTGACTGTCCCTAAGACCAGAGGAACGGTACCGTACTTCAGCGATATCATCCAGAACTTCTCAGTGATGTAGTCCCTACATTCTGCATTCGGGATGGAGAGGTAGAATTTGTAGCTAGCGAAGAGTTCGTTGCATTGAGGCGATCTCCGCGGAAGGCATTCCTTGTGGCCGCAGGCTCCATAGTCGTCGAGAGAGATTTCACTGCGTAGCTTTTCAATGAAGGGCATCCGTGGCCAGAAGACGTCGTTGCAGTTGGTGGCAACCCAGGACAGGAGACCCGTCCGGTTTTCGTAGAATTCGTCACTTAAAAATCGAATGTCAGTTGGAACGTCACCGAGTCCAGAAAATGGCCGGTAATAACCGAAAGGAACGTGGATGTCAGACCCCCTGTTATACGTCATAAGCACGTGGTATTTGAAAAGAGCTATGTCCTTGCTTCCCGCCCATTTGAGGACTCTGTACGGGGTTTCAATACTGTAAAAGATCCAGGTCTGGCCCGGCTCCGGCTTATGCTTCAAGACATTCTGAAGTAGATTTTTAGTGATCCATGTCGTCGCGACCATGCCAAAGATCACTGCGTCTTTCCCAGCCAGATGTTCGCGTTCTGTTCCAAGAGTTAGCTTGATGTCGCATTCATACCCATGCGACTGGGTACAGTTTACGTCTGACTCAAATCCATTCATGTTGCTCGTTTCCAGTAGCGTTCTGAAATGGTTCAACTCGGGAATCCACACCATGCGTGTCATAGAACCAAAGATGTGGACTCTCTTTATGCACCTTGATGATGGCTCAGCTGCGATCTTCTGGTCATTCAATGCGCTAGGTCCTGGAACGTCGACGATGTCAGATGAAGCACGAGGTGACCGACCATGTCGCTTGGCCAAGTGGGAATTTTGATCATCTGCTTGACCAAAACGTAGGACTCTGGTTTTGGAGGAGTACTCGAAGGAAGGTAGCGTCACCAATAGTGTGTTGAATATTCCTACGCTTCCCAAGCCAGCCAAAAAGAAGAAGACTGTCTTCATCACCTGAACAGAAAGGAGAAAGAACAAAAGTAGGACAATGTATACTGGGCCAGAAGGGATTAGACCACACAGCGAGGTCACTGACAGGTGGCTATCTCATTAACTCAGCTCTCAACTAACATAAGAAAAAGAGGATCATGGGGGACCAACAGGCACCGATTGGGGAAGTTTTCTATATAGAGGGAGCAAGTAGCTACAAGTAGGACAGTGGGGCTTAATACTATGGGCCTCAGTTAAAATTAGTCATAACTGACAACCTTATCCATAATACTCCAATGGGGGAATGTGGGGGGGGGGGGGGCTCCGACATCTTTTTCTTTCAGGAACATGATTGCGGAATCTCGCCGACCATCTGCAGTCGGATCAAAGTCAGAATACTTTTTAGTAAAAAATCAAAAAGTTCCTAGGTTCTTTCCAAACCCAGTTTACCTCGAGAAATTTCTAACAGCTCTTCCACCGATCAACAATGTGGATTGGGTGGGGACCCTTAGCCCCCTTGAACTGACTGTGCTCTATATAAGATCTGACAATGCTTTGTCCCGATAGCTCTACAACTCTACAACAATTTTGCTGATAATGGTGTATTGGAAAGTTATTTTTTTTACAAACAATCACAATTTGCTGCTATAGTCAATAGGCAATTTCCTTAATGTAACCAAATGTATGCATAATGCCTTTGTGAAGCGCCTCGATATCGATACGAATTATTTTTCGTTCACCTGTTCCGAATAATTGTTGTTGCTAGGTAGCACAAACATTATGACTTGTCCTACCTAACAACAAGTAATATATACAATTGCATTCTGACTTTTGTAATACAATTATTCGTGTCAGGTAAATGAAATAGTTTGTATCGAGGCATGAATAATCTTGGTGAATGAAATAATTTTTACGAAAATGGCCTATTTTACATCGTCTCACAAAACTAGAGGTGCGGTATTTCATCTGCTTTCTATCGTTCATTAAGACGGCAAAGACCTGTTATCCATTACATCAATTAAATTTGTATATGTACCAGTATTTTTGCAGAAAGGTTAATATCCATTGTGTTTGACATCTGCCATTCCAGAACATAATAATAACAAATGATAATAATAGGGTCTTATTTACCCCGGGTAGTCACCCCAGTGATTGCCAGTGATTTACACCTGGGTGGAGAGTGGCAAACGTGGCCGATCAACGTCGTGCCTAAGGACATTAGTACCGGGCTGAGATTTGAACCCTCAACCCCCGGATTGACAGTGAAGTGAATGAACCGCTACACCACGACATCTCCGAGTCAACATGGTTAACCAAATGATAAATTTTACACAAATGATCAAATTTGTTGGCAACTATCTTATTCTAAAGGGGAAAAATTCGTTTCAGAAACCAGATAAATATTGTGTAGCATAATCTGAGCTCCTATTCTTTATACAGTACATCAACAAGGGTTTCTTTCTTTCATTTTAACCCGGCTAGCTTTTGCGTATAGAGTCAGGCAAAATGGAACGAATTAGGTATAAACAAAACAAACACTTTGGTGAAAATCACCATATTCTATAAACCCCAATTAAGCTCGCACTTTTTACTTCCAAATGTTATGTCCTACCTTCAAGTTCTTTCTCGAGGCCATGTTGGAAGCCTTGATCACCAGATCAAACCCACAACAGTAGAGTGGCTGATGAATTATCCTGGCCTGATCATCAGATCATTGTAATCACTAGAACTAGTAGAAGCTCAGATCAAACGAAGCGTGGAGATGAGTCGCAGACGGGAGCTAGATCATCCCATGTATCAAATGGCTTTTCACGAGATAAAAACTGTGCTGTTTCTAGTCCGACTGCATGAATTTTGAATTAACAGGTTATGTCATCCAGGTTATGTCATCATTTGATTCAAATTCTTTGCATGCTTCCTTTCTGCTTACGTAAGAAGGGGAGCTACCTCCATCGTCAATCAGCCATTCCACACATCAGGTTTTCTTTTATTAATCGAAATCTGAACACATTCGTTAATGCTATGTCGGACAAAGCGTTGACCACGGTGCCCTGGCAAGGTATTGTTGTCCGCACTCTTTTCGGATTGGCAAGAGCAACTGTTGTATTGAAAGCATGCATGTAATGAGAACATAAAAAGAAAATGACCCATTTATCCCCTAGTTCTTGACCGGTTTTAAAATACTGGCACCATAATAACCATGAAGGTTATTACATAACTTCCTCGAATAGGAAAATCGACCAACTTTTTCAGTGTTCGCGTTATTACGAATTCAATTTTTCGTATTTTAATCTTCCATTTATATAACCTATAGAAAAGGCAAACCATGCATTTCACAATCAAACAAATACGTTGCTAGTACTTTTAAAAGAACAACATAACTAGCTAAATATATTTGATTTACGGTCGAATGACGTTTTTGTTTTGTTTTGTTATGTTCTGATTCTTGTGTCGAATTTAGTCAGGGTTGGTGGCCGAGAGACATTTGGCCGAATAAGGGAGTTTACAGATAGCACATGGTACAAATGACCCCAAATATCCACAGATCTTTTACACATGGAGAAGTTCCACTTTGAGCATATTGGAATAATAACTGCCAAAGTCATAGATGTGCTTCGTGAATACCTTTTGTTTGCCCTCTTGAAAAGAATACTTCCACCTGCGTATCATAGAATGTACCGTTGGTGCATAAATGAATAATGTTACATAACTTTCATGAGCGCATATCCAGTATTCATCTCTGTGGGTTTTACCTTTCTGGTACAAATGACCTTTATCTGCCCATGCGCAGATTGTATCTGTAAACTCCCTTATAGTAGGGTTAACAAACTTGTATGTTGCAGCTGGAAATAAGGTATTCCATTCACCTGCCATGAGGTCTGTAGTCTAATGATGAGAATGCAAGTTACTGTCTGTGTTGTGGGACGAATCTAATAAGTCTTATGCGTGGAAATAGAATTTAAATTTCAAGGACGCTCATCTCTACCATTCATGAGTAAACGTTTATTTTAATTTCTTTATTCACTTGCTAATTGCCCCCTTCGTTAGCGAACAAAAGGCCTGAGCATAATCCCGCTTTAATAAGTGGTCAACTTCACGATCTTATATGTACATTTGTGGAAACCATTTCTTCAAGTGTCCAGTAATGAACTCTTGCATAGACGGAGATAAGAGAGAGAGAGAGAGAGAGGGAGAGAGAAAGTGATGGGAGGAAAGGAACGTAAGAAATTCCGTTCGGTATCATCCTGACATTAATTTGAGTAAGACTTGTGTCAGTTGTATATGTAAAAGGTGATTTCAAGATCATACAGACTGATTATGCAACATTCCCATTAACGGCAAAATTGTAACTTTGAAATCAATACATTTAATTGTGAAACTTTCTTGAATATAACGCGCGCAATGTTGTCCTTTTAAGACAACTGCGCTCAATTGTTACGTCATGGATGCGGGGACGCGCATGCGTCATGATCCGCATAGTTACAAAGTTATCTTTTTATCATCATTGATGTAAGCGCCGCTTTAGCTATTACATCGATTTACAAGCATCTCCTCTGAATATATCAGAATATATCAGAATATTTGTCTTTGATTTTAATCTTTCATCATGAGTGACGAACGTAAGTCCTATCTAAGAAATACGTCGATATCATACGTCTATAATAATTTATTGCGATATGTTTTTCTTCATGATTTAGGTTAAAAATCAGTATCGTATGCAACGTTGAAATAATCTTATAATTTAATAGACTCCTCCTCCGCCTGTACGTTTCGGATACTAAGTCTAGATCATTTAAATTGCTTCGATATTATATAACAGTTAACACCATGATTATAAAGTTTATACAAGTAATTTGGGGTATCACTTCTCATATTGATTTTTATGTACAAATTGTTACATTCTCATTAATCGTGTTGTCATGTATTAAGAAGCAAATACAAAAACATATGTGGGAAGTAGATAAGCTTTGAAACTTAAAACACAAAGACTGATGAAGAAATCCATTTCTCATTTATCCAAAATGAAATTTCCAATAAAGTGGTTGTAGAAAATAGTTTGCACAATAATTATTAAAGTAGTATTGAAATCCTTGAAACTAAAATAGTTCATGGTCGCTGTTAGTTTTGGATACAAAATATATGATGTATCGTACAGTGTCATTATATTGGTCTTCTCCAATTTGTTTTCATTATTCAGCAAATCGAGTAGTTCCTAGGTTTCAGCACGAGTTGGCAGAGACACTTGCCTTCAATGAGTATGTCTATCTGAATGACATTCAGACAAACCAGATTAACGAGTTTGTCCAGGATCTCCAAGAGATACATGAAGGCACCGAGCTGACGACTGATAGGGAGGAAATCATACAGGAGAAGGCAGAGGAGGATGAGCTGAAAGCAGAGGAGGATGAGGAGAAGGCAGAGGAGGTGAAGACAGAGGAGGAGCTGGAGGCAGAGGAGGATGAGGAGAAGACAGAGGAGAAGGAGATGAAGGCAGAGGAGGAGCTAAAAGCAGAGGAGGATGATGAGAAGGCAGAGGAGGAGGAGATGAAGGCAGAGGAGGAGCTGGAGGCAGAGGAGGAGGAGGAGGTGAAGACAGAGGAGGAGCTGGAGGCAGAGGAGGATGAGGAGAAGACAGAGGAGGAGGAGATGAAGGCAGATGAGGAGCTGAAAGCAGAGGAGGATGATGAGAAGGCAGAGGAGGAGGAGATGAAGGCAGAGGAGGAGCTGGAGGCAGAGGAGGAGGAGGAGATGAAGGCAGAGGAGGAGCTGGAGGCAGAGGAGGAGGAGGAGGTAAAGGCAGAGGAGGAGGAGGAGGAGGAGGTAAAGGCTGAGGAGGAGGAGGAGGAGGAGGAGGAGGAGATGAAGGCAGAGGAGGAGCTGGAGGCAGAGGAGGAGGAGGAGGTGAAGGCAGAGGAGGAGGAGATGAAGGCAGAGGAGGAGCTGAAAGCAGAGGAGGATGAGGAGAAGGCAGAGGAGGAGGAGTTGAAGGCAGAGGAGGAGCTGGAGGCAGAGGAGGAGGAGGAGGTGAGGGCAGAGGAGGAGCTGGAGGCAGAGGAGGAGGAGGGGGAGGTGAAAGCAGAGGAGGAGGAGGAGGAGGAGGAGGTAAAGGCAGAGGAGGAGGAGGAGGTAAAGGCTGAGGAGGAGGAGGAGGTGAAGTCAGAGGAGGAGGAGGAGATGAAGGCAGAGGAGGAGGTGATGAAGGCAGAGGAGCAGGAGCTGGAAGCAGAGGAGGAGGAGGAGGTGAAAGCAGAGGAGGAGGAGATGAAGGCAGAGGAGGAGCTGGGAGCAGAGGAGGAGCTGGAAGCAGAGGAGGAAGAGCTGAAGGCAGAGGAGGAGGAGCTGCTGGATGCAGAGGAGGAGGAGGTGAAGGCAGAGGAGGAAGAGATGAAGGCAGAGGAGGAGGAGCTGCTGGATGCAGAGGAGGAGGTGATGAAGGCAGAGGAGGAGCTGGGAGCACAGGAAGAGCTGGAAGCAGAGGAGGAGATGAAGGTAGAGGAGGAGGAGGAGGAGATGAAGGCAGATGAGGAGGAGATAACGGCAGAGGAGGAGAAGGTGAAGGCTGAAGAGGAGGAGATGAAGGCTGAGGATGGGGAGATAATGGCAGAGGAGGAGGAAATGGCGGAAGAGCAGGAGGAGAAAATAAAGGGTGAGGAGGAGGTGGAGGCAGAGGAGGAGGAGGAGACGATGGAGGCAGAGGAGGAAAAGGAGATGAAGGCAGAGGAGAAGATACAGGCAAAAGAGGAGGAAGTGAAGGCGGTGGATGAGCTGGCAATCACTTTGGTTGCGGAGGCCAAGAACATTAACGAATTGAAAGAGGTGTTGGAGGGGATTCAAGAGGCCAACGACTGCAAAGAGGAGAAGAAGATAAATATAAAGAATGAAGATGGGAAGAATGAAAGTGATCAAGATAACAAAGATCAGGCTGCTGTAACTGGAAGGAGACAGAAGTGGTGGAAAGTTCTATGCTGTTTTGGTTGGAGGAGGCGCAGCAGGCGTTCTTAAGACTTGAATAGAGACTTATTATGTCATGATCAATGAAATTGTAAATAAAATTGTAAATATAAATTAACTTGAAGACTTTTTGAGATAATTAGACTCACTTTTGGAAGAAAGGGAGAGAGGGGGAGGAAAGAGAGAGGGTGAGGGGAGAGGGGGACAGGGGGAGAGGGGGGAGAGGGGGGAGAGGGGGGGGGGGAGATGGAAATTCACACCAACAGAGGAGGCAGGAAAAAAAAGATATGGGTGGAGACAGGAAGAACGATAGAAACTCGCACCAAGATAGTGGGCCAAGAGAGAGAGAAAAAAAAGATATGGAGAGAGAGGGAGAGAGAGAGAGAGAGAGAGAGGGAGAGGCAGATAGAGAGAGAGTGTGCGATACAGGGAGATAATGAGATATGGGCCATATACTACATTATTAGTAGTATCATGAGTAGTATTTTAGAATTAGATAACTCAGTAGTCAAAGGATTAATAGAATCTTCAGTGAGAGAAAAAAAAATGGGGAAAAAAGGATAATAGCTGATGAATAAGCAAAATGAACAAAGAAAGTGCAAAAAACAACATATTGAGACGGGTGTTATGTAACAACACTTTTTGATTCTTTAATATAAGCACTGGCCTGGAAGTACTCAACAAAATAAAATCAAGTTATACAAAAATAATGATTTTCGATCTGTTTAACCATGGACCTACTACAAATGGACACTGATCGGTACTATAATATATTCATGCACCTGATTCTGTCAAAAGTATAATAATGACATTGCAAACATGCTTCCAAGCTTTGATCTCATCACGACCGCCGCCAGTCAGTCATAAAAACCCCTAACTGTGCCTTGAAGAAACAACAAAATGCCTGCGCAAAAGAAACTGAATCGCTTAAAATCACGGAAATGCATGTGCAGTTGTGGAGTACATAATTATGAATATTGACGTATATGAAGTTTTTAATAGAAAATTAGAAGTAGTTTACAAATGAAACCTGAAAATTTGGCTGTAACATAAAGATTTTAAACTTCATTTTAAAACTTATCCTATCCATTTCCAAGGAATAGAAGGTGATAGGACAGTAAAGAACATGTATTTTTCAAATTCTGGCAGGTCCACATGTATGTCCACCAGTGTCCACTCCTTTAATAATCAATCTAATATCACTCAAATTGTCATAATTTGGGGTTCACTGCTCCTCTAACTGGTCTTAAGTCACGATACTTTTCCTGAAACTACACTCTGTGCCCTGGCCCAGCGAAAAGAATCTGAAGAAATGTAAAAGGTTCTTTTGTCTGTAATGATGCGTGATTACATAATCAGCATTGTCGCGTCAAATGAATGTTCTCATCAACATACACATTATCAGGTGGCGGTGGTCATGATATGATCAATGAAAGACTCTCATTATTAGTCCATCTGTAGTAGGCCATGGTTTAACACTCGTATATGAATATCTCTTTATCCAACTTTCTCTTCCTCCTAATATTCCCCAGTGCATACCTGCCAACATTTGAAAATAAGAATGAGGAATTCTTAGAATGGTATGCCTTCGAAAAAAAGAAATAGCATTTGCAGCGGCAGCGTAACTGGCAATATGTGGTAAATCTGTACCAAAAGGCAATTACCAATTCGCTGCTCGATCACGCAGCCATTCAACGCACACAATACATGAACTCTCACATCGCGGCACATGTTAAAACAAGCTTAATTGGGCTTAAGCGCAATTTTTTTTTTTAATGGAATTTTGCAAAAACGGAATATTCCGGGTTTTCAGGTCCTAGAAATCCAGACAAACGGAATATTCTGGATTATTCGTAAGGGTTAGCAGGTATGCCAGTGATGAAAATCATCAACTCAATTTTTAGGGATGTTGTCTTATTTTCGACCAACTGTACCTTTTAATATACATTTTTAACCACCAAAACAACTTTAATGATGCTGTGCTGAAGCTACAAAAGGACTTATACCATGTATCTTCTTTCAAAGAAATATGTACACTGAAATTGGCTGCCGAGATCCACACTGTCAGAGTATTTGGTTTTCAATATTGTCATCAGTTGGCTCAGCCTGTTTTTTTTTGTGAAATATTTTTGAAATCAGAGCATGTGTATACTGATCAGAATGTTAATCTTGAAGGACAAATCCCAGCAAAGTGTCTCATACGACATGATTGTCGTTCATCCATCTTTATTGCCCAACAATGGTTTTAAAAAAAATGATCTTCGACTAATGCTTCTTTATTGAGTAACTACCATAAGTCAGTGGTCACATCAAGAGGTTCTTCCGTTTTGGATAAAATAAAAGTACAAAGACTGTTTTGTAGGACACATTGCATTGGAGTAACATGAAAGCTGTGATTGAACCCTGGAGCCCTGGGCCCCATTTCAGAAAACTTGTCATCAGTGACAAATGACAGTTTTTGTTAGAAGCTACTGAAATCCTTGCTTCTATTTGGTTCTCAAGATATATGTCACTGAAAAAATGATTTGTGAAACACCCCCTGATGTTCGTAAGCCCATTGCAGGCCCCATTCCTTAGAAAATGAATCATGGAGTAAACTCTAAAAACGTTCCAAGTTTTCTCAGCTGAAACTTCATTCTTAACCATACTCCTTATCAAATGGTTGCCATGTTTAGAGCTCTCCATCTTTTCCAATGTAGAATGGACTTAGGAGTACAAATCATTGTTCATGCTATTTTACAAAAGGCAAAGTCTGAGAAACCATAGTATATAAAATACCTTATGAAAACACAAAACACTAACTTCTTCACAAAATACAAACAAGTCACAATCTCATGCACATGTGTGGATACCATTTCTTAAAGTATTCAGTAATGAACTCTAGCATAAACATGGTGTAGTTTATTTGTATTTCTTCAGTAACGTACAGCTACAGGAAGGGGAGAGGCGGGAGCTGGGTTAAGGTGCCCCTTTCATCAAACGGCGAAAAGAGACACAAAAGAAGGAACAAAAAAAGAGTGAGCAAGAAACATTAAGAGACAGAGGGGGGAGGTAGATAATAATAGAACAAGATAGGGGAGGGACAGATAGAGAGAGAGAGAGAGAGAGAGAGAGAGAGAGAGCGGGGGGGGGGAGAGAGAGAGAGAGAGAGAGCGGGAAGAGAGAGAGAGAGAGAGAGAGAGAGAGAGAGAGAGAGAGAGAGAGAGATAGAAGAGAATATGATAGGAGGAAAGGGACGTAAGAAGCTTCCTTCGGTATCATCCTGACATTTAGTAAACATTTGTACGAGTTTTAAATGTAAAAGGTGATTTTAAGATCATACAGACTGATTATGCAACATTCCCATTAACGGCAAAATTTTAACTTTGAAATCAACACATTTAATTGTGAACCCCTGACATAGTTACAAATTTCTTGAATAAAAGCGCGCAATATTGTCCTTTTGAGACAACTGCGCTCAATTGTGACGTAATGGATGCGGTGACGCGCATGCGTCATGATCCGCATAGTTACAAAGTTATCTTTTTATCATCATTGATGTAAGCGCCGCTTTAGCTATTACATCGATTTACAAGCATCTCTTCTGAATATATCAGAATATATCAGAATATTTGTCTTTGATTTGAATCTTTCATCATGAGTGACGAACGTAAGTCATATCTAGAAAATACGTCGATATCATACGACTATAATAATTTATTGCGATATGTTTTTCTTCATGTTTTAGGTTAAAAATCAGTATCATATGCAATATTATTTTATTTTTTATACAGACGTCTTCAGAAGACAAGCGTTAGTTTTTAATAGACTCCTCCTCATCATGTACGTTTCCTATACGTAGTCTAGATCATTTAAATTGCTTCGATATTGTATAACACCATGATTTTAAAGTGTATATGAGTAATTTTGGGGGGTATTACTTCTCATATTGAGTTTTATGTAAAAATTGTTAAATTCTCATTAATTATGTTGTCATGTATTTAAAAACAAATACAAAAACATATGTGGGAATTAGATAAGGGTTGAAACTTATAATACAGAGACTGATGAAGAAATCCATTTCTCATTAATTTTATCCAAAATTACCAATAAAGCGGATGTAGAAAATAGTTTGCATAATAATTAAAGTCGTTTTGAAATCCTTGAAACTAAAATAATTGATAGTCGCTGTTAATTTTGGATACAAAATGATCAACATAATTATATGATATATGTTATATACAGTGTCATTATATTGGTCTTCTCCAATTTGTTTTCATTATTCAGCAAATCGAGTAGTTCCTATAGGTTTCAGCACGAGTTGGCAGACGCTCTTGCCTTCAATGAGTATGTCTATCTGAATGACATTCAGACAAACCAGATTAACGAGTTTGTCCAATATCTCCAAAAGAATGGGGCAGAGCTGACGACTGATGAGGAGGAAATCATAAAAGAGAAGGAAGCAAAGGAAGAGGTAGAATGGGAGGAGCTGGAGGCAGAGGAGCTGGAGGCGGAGGAGGAGGTAAAAGCAGAGGAGGAGCTGGATGCAGAGGAGGAGGAGATGAAGGCTGAGGAGGAGGAGCTGAAAGCAGAGGAGGAGGAGGAGGTGAAAACAGATGAGGAGCTGGATGCAGAGGAGGAGGAGATGAAGGCAGAGGAGGAGCTGAAAGTAGAGGAGGAAGAGGTGAAGGCAGAGGAGGAGCTGAAAGCAGAGGAGAAAGAGGTGAAGGCAGAGGAGGAGCTGAAAGTAGAGGAGGAAGAGGTGAAGGCAGAGGAGGAGCTGGATGCAGAGGAGGAGGAGATGAAGGCAGAGGAGGAGCTGAAAGCAGAGGAGGAGGAGGAGATGAAGGCAGAGGAGGAGGAGCTGAAAGCAGAGGAGGAGGAGGAGGTGAAAACAGATGAGGAGCTGGATGCAGAGGAGGAGGAGGTGAAGGCAGAGGAGGAGCTGAAAGCAGAGGAGAAAGAGGTGAAGGCAGAGGAGGAGCTGAAAGTAGAGGAGGAAGAGGTGAAGGCAGAGGAGGAGCTGGATGCAGAGGAGGAGGAGATGAAGGCAGAGGAGGAGCTGAAAGCAGAGGAGGAGGAGGAGATGAAGGCAGAGGAGGAGGAGCTGAAAGCAGAGGAGGAGGAGGAGGTGAAAACAGATGAGGAGCTGGATGCAGAGGAGGAGGAGGTGAAGGCAGAGGAGGAGCTGAAAGTAGAGGAGGAAGAGGTGAAGGCAGAGGAGGAGCTGAAAGCAGAGGAGAAAGAGGTGAAGGCAGAGGAGGAGCTGAAAGTAGAGGAGGAAGAGGTGAAGGCAGAGGAGGAGCTGGATGCAGAGGAGGAGGAGATGAAGGCAGAGGAGGAGCTGAAAGCAGAGGAGGAGGAGAAGGTAAAGGCAGAGGAGGAGGAGATGAAGGCAGAGGAGGAGGAGGAGGTGAAGGCAGAGGAGGAGGAGATGAAGGCAGAGGAGGAGGAGATGAAGGTAGAGGAGGAGATGAAAGCAGAGGAGGAGGAGGAGGAGGTGAAGGTAGAGGAGGAGGAGATGAAGGCAGAGGAGGAGCTGAAAGCAGAGGAGGAGGAGGAGGTAAAGGCAGAGGAGGAGAAGATGAAGGCAGAGGAGGAGGAGGAGGTGAAGGCAGAAGAGGAGGAGATACAGGCTGAGGAGGAGCTGGATGCAGAGGAGGAGGATATACCAGCAAAGGAGGAGGAGGTGAAAGCAGAGGGGAAGCTGGATGCAGAGGAGGAGCTGGATGCAGAGGAGGAGGAGATGAAGACAGAGGAGAAGGAGGAGGAGATACCAGTAACGGAGGAGGTGAAAGCAGAGGAGGAGGAGATGACGGCAGAGGAGGAGGAGATGAAGGCAGAGGAGGAGGAGATAAAGGCAGAGGAGGAGGAGGTGAAAGTAGAGAAGGAGGAGGAGATGAAGGCAGAGGAGGAAGAGCTGGATGCAGAGGAGGAGGAGCTGAAAGCAGAGGAGGAGGAGGAGGAGGTGAAGGCAGAAGAGGAGATACAGACTGAGAAGGAGGAGGTGAAGGCTGAGGAGGAGCTGGATGCAGAGGAGGAGATACCAGCAAAGGAGGAGGAGGTGAAAGCAGAGGGGAAGCTGGATGCAGAGGAGGAGGAGATAAAGGCAGAGGAGGAGGAGGTGAAAGTAGAGAAGGAGGAGGAGCTGAAAGCAGAAGAGGAGATGAAGGCAGAGGAGGAAGAGCTGGATGCAGAGGAGGAGGAGATGAAGGCAGAGGAGGAGGAGGTGAAAGCAGAGAAGGGGGAGGAGCTGAAAGCAGAGGAGGAGGGGGAGGTGAAAGCAGAGGAGGAAGAGCTGGATGCAGAGGAGGAGGAGATGAAGGCAGAGGAGGAGAAGGTGAAAGTAGAGAAGGAGGAGGAGATGAAAGCAGAGGAGGAGGGGGAGGTGAAGACAGAGGAGGAAGAGCTGGATGCAGAGGAGGAGGAGGTGAAGGGAGAGGAGGTGAAGACAGAGAAGGAGCAGCTGGATGCAGAGGAGGAGATGAAATCAGAGGAGGAGAAGACAAGGGCTGAGGAGGAGGTGAATGCAAAGGAGGAGATGAAGGCGGTGGATGAGTTGGCAATCACTTTGGTTGCGGAGGCAAAGAACATTAGCGAATTGAAAAAGGTGTTGGAGGGGATTCAACAGGCCAAAGACTTCAAAGAGAGGAAGATAAATGTAAACAATGAAGATAGGAAGAAGGAGAGTGATCAAGATAACAAAGATCAGGCTGATGTAACTGGAAGGAGACGGAAGTGGTGGAAAGTTTTTTGCTGTTTTGGTTGGAGGAGGCGCAGCAGGCTCTCTTAAGACTTGAATAGAGGCTTATTATGTCATGATCAATGAAATTGTAAATAAAATTGTAAATAAAATTGTAAATATAAATCAACTCGAGGACTGTTTGAAATAATTAGACTCACTTTTGGAAGATGGAGAAAGACTGAGATAGAGAGGGAGAGGGGAAGGGGATAGAGATAGAGAGAGAGAGAGAGAGAGAGAGAGAGAGAGAGAGAGAGAGAGAGAGGGGGTGGAGGAGAGGGGGGAGATGGAAATTCACACCAACAGAGGAGGCAGAGAGAAAAAATTGGAGATAGAAAAAACGATAGAAACTCACACCAAGAGAGGGAGAAAAAAAAATATATGGGTAGAGAGAGAGAGAGAGATAGAGAGAGTGTGCGACATAGGGAGATAATGAAATATGGGCCAAATACTAATAGTATCATGAGTAGAGTACTGAGAATGAGATAACTCAGTAGTCAAACGATTAATAGAATGAAAGCCAATACAAGAATCCCATATTGCATAATCATATATTCTTCAGTGAGAGAAAAAAATGGGGAAAAAAAAAGATAATAGCTTTTGAATAGGCAAAATGAACAAAGAAAGTGCAAAAAAACAACATATTGAGACAGGTGTTATGTAACACTTTTTGATTCTTTAATATATATGCACTGGCCTGGAAGTACTCAACAAAATAAATCAAGGTATAAAAAAATAATGATTTTCACACTCATATATAAACATCTCCATATCCAACTTTCTCTTCCTCCTAGTAATCCCCAGTGACGAAAATCATCGACTCAATTTTGAGGGATGTTGTCTTATTTTCAACCGAACTGTACTTCTTTATATACACTTTTGACAACCAAAACAACTTTAATGATGCTGTTACAAAAACAAATTCTGAAATTCATCATTCCAATCATAGATTTCTTGATTATCAGACAGGCGATTGACTTGTAAATGTCATGGGATTCAAGTATGACCTAAAGATTTATAATTATCATTGCAGCATGCGGTATATCCAGGATTTTGTTTAGAATCTGATCCAAGATTATCATGGTTTAAACTCTAAAAACATTCAAAGTTTCCTCAGCTGAAACTTAGAAGTACAAATCTTTGTTCATGCTATTTTACAAAAAGCAGAGTTTAAGATACCATAGTATACAGAATACCTAACTTCTTTACACAAACAAAAAAATGAATTTAGTAGACAGCTTTCTTTATATATGTACATAAAAAGAACACATACCAGGTACTCTACGGATGAATTGACATAACTTGGAACATGGTGAGAATCTGCATAGGTAAAGGCAAGAAGTAAAACAAACATGCAACTAATTTAACCTGAGCTGTTCAAAGTTTTCCAATGGTCTACACAATAATAACACATTGGCATGACTTCCGGAGCCTATGACCTACAAGCATTGCTTTCTCTTTAGGCTCCATCATATTTCTTCCCTTATTCAACTTAGTCTTATGTATCATTCTTTTCTTTTTTTTTGTATAAACGCATCCTAAAATGAGTTCAAAATGTAACATGCTATATGTAATGATGTACTATACAACATGTGAGAAATATGAAAATAAACTGAAACTGAAACTGAAACTGAAACTTATTCTTAGTTTTCACTCTTCAGCAAATCAAAATACATATGAAATGAACCTATTTCAATGATGATTAAAAAATGCAACAAAAACTTGCCACTTTGTACATGAGAGTAGTGATTACAAGTCAATTTTATTACTGACTCTGGAAGATTGCCTTTCCAATAACTTACTTTCATTTAACTTCAATAATTCCCCTTGGATAAAGGTGTCACCAAGCTGTTAGAAGGGGTACATTTTAATACCAATTCTTGCTGAAGATACTGTCATGAAGAATAAATTCTAGTGTATATAGCCTCTGGAAGATTGCTTTTTCCTATAACTTGCTATGATTACATAAATTAATCCTCTTGAGATGTCTTTGTACTTATTCAAGAGATTTGCTTTCACTCTTTAGGTTACTGCTAAACAATACATAAAGCTATGCCCGACCTAGCAGGGATGGCCACCCTTCATAAATCTCCATTACCAGGACTCAAATCAATCGTTAATCCTTTCAATCTTACAAATTAAATTTTGTACTTGCATAACATACTGTATCTTGCACTTGGTTTCTAAAGGATTAAGTACAGCTATGAATCTTAGAATCTACGTGCTAGCTTGTCATGGTCATCACATGAAGTAGTTAGGTATCTCCTCTATTTTTTGCTCAGCTTTCAGAGCACAAGTCGAGGGTTCAGTGACACAAGGACGTAACTCCATATTTTGCCGAATGAGTATTTGATATCAAAATGTTCAGAAAAATGTGGGCTTTCCAGGAAACACAAAGACTTAACTCCTCCCAACACCCCATTGATATTAAAGACTTTGTGAAACATAGACTTAACTCCTTAAGGCCCAAGTGGACCTCTATCTTTAAACCACTTTTTCTCAATATGGCCTAAATGGAGTTACGTCTTTGAATCACTGACCCCTTTAGAAGTGTAAAAGTTTGTTTCCTTCTCTCTTTCTTATCTCTAGGCAAACCCACATAATCATGCATGCATGTATAGAGTTTTATGTGATAGATGGATGAGCCCCTTTTATGTCATAACCCTGGATCCATCACTGGGATATGGATGGCAGATCTGCTCTTGGTTGCCATACACCACGGGGGAAAGATCTTCCAAGTATAATTGTGATGCAATTTTGGTGTTAGGAGGCAAGGATTCCAATATGATTGTCCCATGACTGTCCTGATGAAGATCACTACCTTCCAAGGTCCTTTAGAGGTATGCAACCTTTAGATGTGAGAACACATGCTTCTCAATGGCCTGCAAAAAGAAATAAAAACTTTATTTATGCATTTATCAATAACAACATGCAGTGTTGTCTAGTTTTTTATCTATCTGCAACATGAATGAAACATAACATATTAATGCTCATCTTAATTCAACTACTTATTAATCTCTCTATTGTCTTAGATTGTATTTTGATTGTGTCATGTAATACAGGGCTCTCTTGTAAAGGAGTTTTATGTACCGAAGACACTACCCTGTATAAAGAACACGGAATAAATAAACAAATAAATAAATATCTATCTATCCATCGATCAATCCATTTATCTATCTACATATCTATCTTTGTCCATCCATTATTAGATCCATATATCAACCCATCTGTCCTTCCTTTCATTCATCCATTTATCTCTCCATCCCTCCATCTATCTAGTTCTCTATCTTTCCTCATGTACACTTAGCATCTGGGTTCTTTATTTTTGTACGTCATTTCCTTTTGTATAATATATTCATCTGTTTTTTTAAACAACTTCTCAAATCAAAGCTCCGTCATATAACACAACCCTACATGATTAATCATTCAAATAAAACTTCAACCAGTATAAATTGTCTTGAATACAAACTAATCAAGATGCACAAGATACAAAAGTCTGCCTCTTTAAAGGTATAGACCAGTTCTGGTCATGCGATTGCATTGTGAAAGAAACGGTGTGGAATCGATCAGAAATGGTTGATCATCTAGCGTATAAGTATTGGTGTGTACTGCAAGGTTCTGGAGTCATCAAAATGATAAGAAATTTAGCCCACTCTTGGTAAAGTTACAAGCACTGTACACAAAAAGTTGTATATGGGACTACGCGTTATCTATCCAGTCCGGATAGATATAATAATTTACCAAATATATCAATTAGTAGGCGGTTTCCCGGCAAAATATGTATCATCACGTATTAGTCAAAAAATATTCTTTCACATGATTGGTAATAAGGGCTTCAATTTCATTTTTTGAGAGGGGGGGGGGGATTTCCTAAACTGGTCTATACCTTTAAAACAGGGAGAAGATTTGTATAGACCATGGTTACCTTGAGGGTTGTATTCTTCTGAGGGTAGTTCTTGAGACACGTCTTCCAGAGGCATTGACGAGCTGAGCGACGGATGTGAATGTGTTGAAGATGGGTCTTCAGAGCGTCCAGTCGCAGGAAACGACTGATGCAGTGACTCCACTAATGGGTACAAATATTAAAGGAATTCTTGAGTTATGGTAATAAATAATAATAATAATAATAATGGGTTCTTGTATAGCGCTCATGTCTGTCATACGTGACCCTCCTGGCGCTTCCGATTATTACCCTGGCTTTAGCACGACTGCCATACGGCGCTCTAGCATTTCAAGGAATACATTCCTGCCAGGTACCCATTTACATCACCTGGGTTGAGTGTGGCAAATGTAGATCAATGTCTTGCCAAAGGACATTAGTGCTGCGGCAAGACTCGAACCGCTGACCTTGTGATCGACAGTCCGGTGACATCCCCTCGACCACGACACCTCTACAAAGATGGACAACAAAATCTTCCAGATTTAAACTTAGACTGGACGTCCAATACTAGAAATAAATCTTATCTGCCAAATAGATTTGTTAGAAACTGTAAAACATCCGAGTAATGAACAAAGACGAGTATAAAAGTCAAGGTTGTTATCTAGATGTCTCCAGACTGCAAACCAGAAGGTACTGGGTTTGAATCCCAGTCGCAGCACTGGTGTCCATTGGCAAGATATTTATATAATATTGACTGGCCTTGAGGGGTATATCAGAAATATTGACCAAGCTCAGATCATATTGCCCCGAGTCGAAAGACGAGGGCAATATGGTCTTAGCGCGGTAAATATTTCTGATATCCCCCGAAAGTAAAGCCAGTCAATATTTTTATTGTTATCCAAATCAGACATCTAGAGCAAATACAGAAATCCACCATGACAATCTCAAAGAACTGAACAAGCTTTGTCAAACCAGCACTGTGCATCCAGTGCTTGACGAAATTTTCGATACACTGCAAACAGTGTGCATTTGGTGTGATTATTACGTCACAATAGAGTGCGCGCAAAGTGCGCAGGTTCTCGTACGCATAATAGATGCGCAATGAAAATGACAAAATATGGCCCGGATGCGAGACCGTGGAAAATACAAAGGTATATTTTCACTCGTCTCTACACGCAAAGTCTATACGAGCAGGGAGACCAAGGAAAATACAAAGAATATACCCCTTCGTTCCCACTGCTAGTGAAAACTAGGGCAATACGGTTTTGTAAATGACCAGCTCAAATGTCTGATACGGGTAATAATAATCTATATTTGCCACACTCTACCCAGGTGAGGTAAATGGCAGTACCGGTAATCAATTCTCTTGAAAATGCTCGAGCGCTGTAATGGCAGCCATGCTAAAGCTGGGGTAATAACTATGGAGCACCAGTAGTGGCAATGTGCCAGATAATGAGCTCTAAACACGACTCCACTGTTATCATTAATTATCCTGACTGTGTGTTGAGAGATGGAACACATGTTTTTAATGAATGTGTTTACCAGCATGATTTTATTCATTTAGTTGATCAAAACTACCGATCCAAGTCTTACGCTTGTCTCCTTAATTTGCATGTGACTTTTACTTCTACTTAGTGAATCTAAGTGAAATGATAATATTCTGGATTCATATTATTATCATGAATATGCAAATAGGTTGCATTGAATATTCATGTTTTAAGTGTTAGTTGAGAGATTGTCATTGTTGTCGTGATTGTCAATGATCACCTGATTTTGAGCCAAATTTCTCATGATTTATGTTGTCAGGAAGGGGAATAAATAATGATTAACAATCTTATGTCTGCCTCAATCTAACGCAATACAAAATGTATCCCTGATCTCTCTACAGCCTGGGGAGCATTCCAGCCGGGCCTCAGTTTTATGTTTGACTTGTTTTGAGAATGGAAGACCATTTTGAATTACCTCACACTGGTAGACAATAGAGGGGTATAGCGGGATCACATCGATGAAGCCATCTCGGATACCAAGGAAGAGCTGTAAATGAGATATGACATTGAAGGATATCAGAGCTGGAGAACAATTATGGGGTATTCTGCAAACTATGTAATCTGTTAGATTGGTTAATTGTCATCATAAATAGAAAATGCATTGAAACAAACACTTATCATCGTTGAGCTGGGCCTGTTGCACAAAACTAACCATCAATGGTAACTACCGTGGAAACCTTGATTTTGATTGGCTGTTGAGCCCTGTTACCATGGTAGTTGCCATTGGTGGCAAAGTTACCATCAATGGTAAGTTTTATGCAACAGGCCCCAGATGTTTCCTGAATCATATGAACACACAGCCAGCTTTGAATAGACTTAATCTAAATTCAATTTGATTTTATTAACAATCAAATACAGGGCTAGGTCTGAAGACTGTTACACCATCACATTTATAATAAAATACAAGAAACAATAAACAAGCATTATACATCAACATTCATTGTACTGTAGTTAAAAAATACAACTTAAAAAAACCCATATAGCACATAATACGAAATCCAATCTCAAAGCGCTTTACAGATATTATTACCCCGGTAATCAAATTCTTTGAGGCACAATGTACACCATCTTTACTCCATGGGGAGTATTCCTACCATATGGTCACTATGAGGGCATATAGGAATTACTAACACAAAGGCTTTTGTCATTCTACCAGGTCCCCATTTATCTCATGGGTATGGAGTGGCAAATGTAGATTAATGCTTTGCCAAAGATCATTAGTGTTGTGCCGAAGATCGAACCATGACATTTGCATTTCATTCAATAGACTGAGGTAAGTCCAGCTCTTGGTTAGTATTAATGTGTCTCTCACCATGTCTTGAGATGCATTCATACATGTTATGTTCCCACAACCACTGTCAAAGATGTCTACCTGGCCAGTCTGTAAAGGAGAGAGAAAACATTCAGAGCAATTCCTCCCATAAGAACGTGATCTCTGCAATCTTATGCTTTTTGCGAGTATACTTGGGTTTTCTTGAATGATTTAAACGATTGGTTGCAGTCCAAAATGTACGAAACCAACAGTTTTGTGATGTTAAAATTTATCTTTACCACTTTTTTCTTATCAATATGATTTTGTTAATTGGAAGTATTTTATATTTTAACTCAGTGTTAACATATGTGAGTAATGCCCTTCTGGCTCCAAACAGACGATATAAAGGATATGTATTGCAACCAGTGCAGGATTATCATAGATGAACGTATGAATGATTGGAGGCTTGTTTACATATACTGCAGTTAAAAAGAGCGTTTTTTTGTATTAATGTACTGACTTTCACATTTTTGAATCTCATACAGACAAGTGAGTACACGTAGCATCTTTTTTCATCCACACTACCGTATTTTCCTGCGTAAAGGCCGCAGTATTTTCGGGTGAGAAAAAAATCAAAAAGTCGGGGTGCGGCGTATACGCAACAACAACAAAATTCAGCGGTCAAAACATCACGTCCATTTGCACGTATGGGACTATAGGAACGGTAGCATGACTAGACAACGGTACAGGACAATTCTAGAATAACTCCACACAACTTACCGACAAGTTTATGTTGCATAGTTGACATGAAGACGAAAAAACTTATTTTTCTAATAAAATCTGCCGATAGATCTAGATCTAAGTCCATACCATTGCATCGCCAAAAAGTAAACAAAGGGACAGGCCGTTACTTACGGAGCTAGCTGCCGCGCAACGCAACTGCGCAGGTCGAAAAATGCTATTTCGGATTACACCGCACATCGAGGAAGGGGTATTGTAGGATACCAAATCTGCGTACGATACAGTACTAGCTTAAAAGTCGATGAAGATCTGCTAAATTATGATCATTTTTGAGGTTAACTTCTTGTTGATTTATAAGAATATTGATGAATTTGGTATAGTTTGTAAAAAAAAAAAGAGTGTTCTACAAGAAAATTACGATCATTTTGTTTGGTCCGTTTTTTTTTTCTCTTCTTTTTTTTTTTTTTTTTTTTTCCTCTACGAAATGTCAAAGTTGGGGGTGCGGCCTATACGGCGGTGCGGCCTTTACGCCGGCAAATACGGTAGTCATGCATTTAGTATTTTAAAAAAGAACACACCCCTAAAACGCCACAGTAACCGTTAACCTTGTCATGTGCGAACAAGCCTTAATCCACATGTATTTATGAAGACTGTGAAATATGGGCATGAATGTTCAAGGTTATATTGAACAATGAAGATCAGGGACCTGTTTCACAAAGCCTTTTTTCAATGAAAAATGACAAAAATCAGTGACAAATCTGTTGACAACCAATCTGAAGCAAGGATTACAGTAGCTTAGAACAAAAAAAACTGTCATTTGTCACTGATGACAAGTTTTGTGAAACACCCCCAGGAAGGAAGCGACATACCTTGATTTTGTAATAGTAGACATTGCCTGTATAACCAGCTACTGCTAGAGTATCCCCGGACATAACGCAGCATGCCATCTTGGTTTGGTGCTTGACTCGACGAATAGTTTCTCCAGTCTGATAAAAGAAAGGAAAAGTTGGGATTAATTACATCTTTTTGAGTAAGTTAAATCTAAAAAAGAGAGAAAATTGCATAGAGCAGAGGGCAATTCAGCTCCAAAAGGGCTTTGTAAAGAAAGAGATGCACTTTAGAAATTCATACACTCTCAATACAAAATTCAGTAACAGGAGGTTAATGTTTATGAAGATTTTTCCAGAAAACAAAAGGAAATATGACTCTGTATGTTTTACCATATATTCATTATACTCACTATTGTAAGTGAGCAAAAAATCCCCAAAAGAACAATTACACAGCAGTACAATAATATTAATAATAGTAAGATGTCTTATTTAGCCAGGGTAGCCTTGTCAGTATTGTTCCCCTGAGGGGCTTGCAATCATATGATAATCCGTCTTTAGCCGAGCTACCTTGATAAGGTGCTCAAGCATGTTGGGAATGTCTTCCAACTCGATACCCATTTACTTCACCTGGGTGGAGAGTGGCAAATGTAGATTAATATCTTGCCAGAGGATATAGTGCCACAGCATGACTCGAACTTCAAACCATGTGATTCACAGTCCAGCAACATATTCATTAGACCCACAAACCTACATATAAAAACTACCGGTACTCATATTCTAATTATCACAAGATGAGAGTTTTGTACACTTATCTCACATTCTAAAAATATTGCCAGGGCTCACAGACACAACATTCCCCTTGTAGAACGGATACAGATTTATACAATGATCCGATGGAAAGACTTTGATTAACTTACCTCTAGGTCATGAATGAGAACGGTGTTATTCCGTGCCATAGCCAATACACGGCATCCCTGGACCTAATGCAATCAACAAATGATAGAATTGAGTCAGTAAACAATAACCTGTAATAAAGCTAGATGTACTTAGTTTTCACCATTTTAAACAATTGAAAATAAGAAAATGAATTTTTGAAGGTGCGATCACTCACACACACGTTGGTAACTCTGTGACGAATCTTGAGAGTCCCTTCCCATTTCTCCTGTACTAAAAAACTTCTAAAATTCATATTTTCACTTCAGAAAATTTTCCATTATACATTCCCCCTGAATATAATTATTGCAAATGTATTTTTATACAACGCCTGTATAACAAAATAATCTATAACATCAATAACTAAGTAAATGAAAGTTTATGAGATTTTCTGTACAGAGCGAGTCGTAGAGAAGCTGGCATGACACATCACAGCGGTGCCAATTTCTGTTTCAATGATGACAATTAAAAAAATAATTATAACTTAATTTTTAATCGGATATTGCTCAAACTTTCACTAATTTGTTGCTCTCTTTTTTTTGTTTTTATCAAAACCAACTTGATATCAGGGTGGACTTCCTCTTTAAAGAAATCCTCTAATTTCTTTCTTAGACTGAGGGTTGCAAAGAGGTGTTAACCATACTTGTAAGTGAGTGACTACATCACTGTGACCGTCCAGACTCCGGAGAAGTAGACCATCACTCGCTCGTCTGAGGGTCACGGTGCGATCCTCGGAGGCCGTGATGAGCAGCCCCATGCCGCCCTCTAGTGTTGAAGACATGGCAGTCACTGCGAAGGATGGTGTGCAGGAGTAGTACCAACTGACCTTGGATTTCTGTTCACAGGTTGGAAGGTGTGAGAGACGAATCAAATCATCGGTTATCATCAGACAACAATCGCTTACAGGGAAGCCCATGAAACAGAAGGCTCACAAGACCATGGGCCTTCTAAATGTTATACTAGGGTTCACAAGATCGATGGTCTACGAGACCAACATGCCGGCTTCGCAGACCTTCTAATTTTTTTTGGAGGATTCAAGAGATTGAAATTGATTGTCCCTTTGTCTCATGGGCTGTCTGTCTACTAGGATATCCTAAACAACAATCACTCCAACTACCGTCGCCTTCATCATCCCCACTATTCAGCATCACCACTGCCATTGTTACAATCATAATCATCATCATCATCATTGGAACCATTATCATATCATGATGCTTTTCATCACCAGCATCGAAATCAACATCATCATAATCATTGTCATCATAATCATTGTCATCATAATCATCCTCATCATCATAATATTACAATCCTCAAAACATCAAGGTAAGTTTAAAGCTTGCTCTAAAGTGGAAGTTAGACCGAGATCCAAGATTTCCCTTTATTAAACTTGACTTGAAGCTCGCATTGGGGTTTAACTGAATTAGTAAAATAGAGCCCCAAGTGTCTTAGCCTTAGAGTTTCCTTCAATACATATCATACCTGTACGTTGATGTTAGCAATCTCTCCATCAGCCAGCCCTGCATACAAGCTATTCCACTTCACATGCAGGCAAGTTATCTCCTTTCCTAACACCAATGTTTGGAGAAACTCCTTTGCCTGCAAACAAAACATGAAACAAACACACACACAAACACACAGAACTTTATTCTTGCGATAGAATTTATCATGTAAATTTTTATGGATTAATAGAACACTGTTAATACGAATTAAATGCTAGTAAAGGACCAGAAAAAAGGCTGAGTGCAGAGTATCAACTTTGCTCGGCAACATTAATTTGATTTTGAAAATAGCCTTTTAGTAACCTTCCCAGAGCCTTATGGTGCCCCCTAAGCCATGGGTATGACATCTCTGCTACAGAGACCCTAATCATAACGCAACATTATGTTCTATTGAAATAGCCTCTTAGTAACCTTCCCAGAGCCTTATGGTGCCTCCCAAGCTATGGGTGACAGGTCTCTGCTACAGAGACCCAGGCAAGGGCTACTGGGTTGATGACAAGCCCCCACACCTCGTCAAGGTGGACTACTTCATGTTCCTCATCAAAAGAAGGGGAGAGAGAGAGAGAGAAGAGGAAGGAGGGAGGAGTAAGATAGAGTAAGAGAGAGAGAGAGAAGAGAGAGGGGAAGAGAAAGAGAGAGAGAGAGAGAGAGAGAGAAGAAGAGGGAAGAGAGAGAGAGAGATTGATTGTCGAGGAAAAGACAGAATGTAAACAAAAGAATGAAATCAGGAGAGAAAAAATGTTTAAATAAGAATGGGATAAAAAAAAAAAAACATGGACAAGAATGAAAGAGGGAGAGAAATGAATACAGAGAGGAACATGGTGGAGGGTTTATCTGGTAAAAATCCCAAGAGATTTCTATTTTAACCACAATTCTAAACTCAAATCTTCTCACGGAATTAATGTCTATCCGGCCATTGATACGACCTTATAGAAGATCTCAACAACTTCCCAGGACAAATTACACAGTATGTATGGATACAGGCTGCAAGATAGTAGATCGACAGATGATAATACCGGAAACTCACATGACCAACAGCCCACAAGCTTGATAATGTCCAACTCATGAGCTTTTTGAGGGGTTCACAAGATTAATAGCCCATGTGAAAGACAGTCCACAAGACTGACATTTTGGCCTCATGAAATGACAACAATTTTTTTCTAGGATTACAAGACCAATACTGTCAGTCTCATAGTTCATCGGTCTACAGGGATGACCTGCTCTGAACCTACCTTAACATCAAACTGAACCAGGTTTCTGCTACCATCACTAGCAAATGCCACCATCTTGTTTGCAGTAGTGTCTCTCCACAGCTCAAAGTGCTTGATATTCCCTAGAGCTAGGTCCTCTTCTGCATCAATCTTGTTGGTCTGATGAGTTCAAATTCATATACAAAGGGATTTCAATCAGTGCAAGTTATAAATTGATGTGAAAATCAGATACAGGCCATTTAAATGCCGGCTGTACCAGTTCAGCCAGAAGGGATTAGACCACACAGCGAGGTCACTGACAGGTGGCTGTCTCATTAACTCAGCTCACAATCAACATAAGAAAAAGAGGATCACGGAAGACCAACAGGCACCGATTGGGGAAGTTTTCTATATAGAGGGAGCAAGTACCTACTGGTAGGACAGTGTGGCTTTAATGTACATTATTGACAGCAACAATCTAAGAAATCTAGAAGTTTTGATGCTGAACTCTGCAGACAAATGCATTACGTTCATAAGACCAATTAGACAAGGTTTACAAGACGACCACAAGACCGTTGTGCTTCTTTTAGATGGACTATCTCTATATCAAATTAGTATGTTCTAAAATACATTCTTCCTAATAATATGTAATATCAAGTAATGACATGACTCAAAAACTAAATATATTAGCACCATTAAAATATATATGTACAATAAAAAAAGAAAAGAAAAGGATATGGTGATCAAATTACAAAGGGCCACATGTAAGGTGAAAACTGCAAGATTCAAGTGTTGGTGAAAAGGACTTACTGCCAGGTTGAATATGATGAATCTGCTGTCTGAAATGCAGGCATATAGTTTATCCTCAATGATGTACATGTTGATCACATAGCCTTTAGACCGAAGGCTGGAAGTTGCCTTCTCTTGACGATTAGCATCTTCTGAGTCCTGTGCACTCTGTTGAGCTGTGTTAGACTCGCTACCTTTCTTGAGGCTTACCGAGGTCTCACAAGGATTGTCAGGGATACTGTCCTTTGAACCTGATGAATTTGAAGCTCTTGTAACCTTGGACTGGTCTTTGTGGCCCTTTTCCGTTTGAGATATCAATGTCTTATCTGGTTCTGGAGAATGAGCACTGCTGATCCTTTCATGCAATGCTTCAGGTTCTTGCCCTTTCTTGCGTAGAACTGTATCTTTAGGACTGTGTTTGGGTCTCTTTGCCCGGGTGTCTTCCGGTAACGGTTTCCATCGCTTTCGCTTTGTTGCGAAGGGTTCCCCATGCTCTCCAGAAGTACACCTTTCATTGTCCCTACTCATGATTGCCTCTTGTCTTTGGCTAATGTCATCAATGTCTTGTGGTTCTTGCTTTATTCTCCTGAACGAGGTTTCAGATGATGTTACATTCCTACATGATGATCCCATTATTGTTGCATCTTCATCTGTGTCTGACTGCAAAGGCAAGGTTCCCTGTGATCTAGGTTCATCTGTTCTTTCCCTTCTAACTCTAACTTGGTCCGAATGAACTGCAATTTGAAATGGTTCTGCAGTGACATCAGACACTGTTGACAATCCCATGCTCTCGGTCACCCTGTCTCTGTCTGTGGACATTACATTGGCATTTACCAGCTTGGCTACCGCTCCAATCACATCACCACTTGCGGGTACAGATTCCCTGTGCATCAGACGTTCACAGTCGATTCCATAAAGTGTTTCATCGTCAGAGAAAATGTCCACTTTGACTCCAGCTCCGCAGCTGTTAAGCTCCTGCAGGGTCTTAGCAAAGCTCTCTCTGCTCATGACCTGTGGAAGCACTTCAATGCTCTGGCCAACGCAAGACTGCGGAGGAGGGCTTCCTACGTTGATACCTACTACATCTTGGTTACGCCCCACATCCCCGAAGGTGTCCATTGTCCCCTGTCCCTGATCCGACACGGTCCTGGCAGGGCTCCCAAACGTTATCCTGAAACCCTCTGTTCTGTGACTGGGCGTGGTTTGAGCCATAGACATCACGTTTGAAATCCTAATGTCACCCTCCGCTCCAGACTGCACTGCCTCACTTACAACATCTCCCATGCCAGCCTGCTGGGGGGCTGCCTGAAGACTAGGACCTCGTCCGGAGGATAACTGAGACTGGTTTGATGATGATGATCGCCCTTCATCTGTTCTGCTTCCATCCCTTTTGTCCATGGAAGAGACTGATTTCTTAGCCTTTCCACTCGAGGTCAATCCTGCAGAATGTAGAAAATTGATGAGTGCTGATTTAAATTGAAATTGATGGAATGACAGAATATTTATAGATTGCAATTATACACAGGCAACCTGAAATATTATCATTTCCACCTTGCAATTTGCCAATTTCATATTCTTACAAGATCAAAACTAAAATCATCTGTTTTGAATCAAACAAGTGATTATGACTTACACTTTAAATAGAGATTCCTGTAATGTGAGCTTCCAAAAGATGTTCAGCTTTTGATATCAGTATCAAACCTTATCAGAAGATAAGGCGCTGCTCATACACTTTCTGATACATTTTATGAAATCATAATTTGAAATACATGGATAAAATCAAAACTAAGGCAGGTGTTTTATTCATGATAATTCATGAAACACAAAGTACAATTGTATATCCAGTCCAGAAAGTGTTCAGCAAGTTTCTGTCCAAACGCTATGCCCTTTGCTCTTCATTGTACATTCCACATTCCTTCTTGTTTACAGACTTGGGTGTACATAACATTTAAATGCATAATAGACAGGTTTGTGTATTTTGCATCAGTGCTATCACAAGTTGAGAGAAGGGTAAAAATGTTATCTTTATTTATCTCTCCCCTTCATCTGACATACCTAAAAGAAGATTGAGCCTCTTCTCTCTCAGACCAGTAAGACTGCCGATGACCTGTATAAATAAAGCACAACAAGCGAATCATAAACATCAGGGACATTGCAATACTATTTAGAAATGTTAATGACCACTCGCTTGAATACAAACCAATATGATTCTTAACATCATGAACTCAAGGTAATCAAGATTTTATTTATATGGTGACAAAAATAGAGCACTGATACCACCACATGAGAGAGTGTATTCCTTTTAAAAGTAAAATACAAAAAACATGGATTAGAATGTGTAAAGGAAATTAGACATAACATAAAGAGAGAGAGACATTGTTTAACAAAAAATGCAATATGCTTTGTTGTTGTTCTAGTTAATAGTGTTTAAATTCAATAACAAAGTTATTCAGAGAGAACGAGAGACAGAGAGAGAGAGAAAGAGAAAGAGAGGGAGAGGTCGGGGATTATGAATTTGGATTGTAGATTTTTATTATCAAACACAACAGCAAAACAAGGGCAACCCAAAGAAGGGAAAAAGGTAGAAAATCAAATATCAATTAATTACATGAGGAAAGCAACTACGAAGATCGATAGCAAGCAGAGCTGCCAACCCCTAACTTAACAAAAATTCTATTCTTTACCCCCCAAAATCCAACAACTTATTCTTGATTGATAAGTACTTTTTTTTTGTTAGACTGTGTTCATCGAAATTTTTGAAGAATTATGCATGGGTACATTTTTACAAACATTAAGCTAAATATGCAAAAGTTTGTCATGAATGATCGTTCAATGAACCAATGAGCGGCATAAAGCTTATAAAGCCGTCGCGAGACCTCCGATTGGAAACTCAGATCATAACATCGTTGAACTGATACCGAAGTACAAACAAAAACTTAAAAGATTTAAACCCACCGAGGTAAACATGAAACAGTGGAATGAAGCAAATACTACTGCATTGCAAGCCTGTTTAGAATGCACAGACTGGGAGGTATTAGTCGAACAGTCGCTTGATAATACCACTGATGTAGTGAGTTCTTATATAAGATTCTGTGAAGATATGTTGATACCTGAGAAATGTATTAAGATGTTCCCAAATAACAAACCATGGATAGACAAAACATGTAAGTCGTTTTTGGTAGACAAATTGAATGCCCATAACAGAAATGATATTGAGTAAAGGAAAGAAGTTCAGAAAGAGTTTAAAAAATACATATGTAAGAGGAAGAGAGAGTATGGGTCTAAGATGGAACATAGCTTAGGTACAGGAGACTCTAAGAAAGCATGGGGAAGTTTTAGGAAAATTACAGGATATCAAAAGAAAAATACTCTCGCTTCTGTTGTAAACCCCAAGTTGTTTGTCGAGAATTTGAATAACCTTTTTTCACGTTTTGATGTAGAAGTCAACAGGAATATGATGGAGTTGTCAAACATTAAGGGGGAAATTTTATCACATGTTACAGAAGACAATAAAGTAGTCATCAATGAACAGGAGTGTTAGGAAGACGTTATACTCTGTTAAGTGTAGTAAAGCTATGGTTCCAGATGGATAAGGTGGTAAAGTTTTAAAGTCATGTTGTCAGCAGCTGTCAGAGGTTTTTCACATGCTTTTTCAGTGGTCGATGGATATCCATTCAGTCCCATTGCTTTGGAAATCAGCCATTATTTCACCAGTACCAAAAATATCAAAACCAAAAGATTTGAATGATTACCGACCTATAGCATTAAAAAACAAAAATCATGAAATGTTTTGAACGTGTCGTTAAAGGTATCTTGATGGAGGAAACAAAGGCATTTACTGACCCTCTGCAGTTTGCCTATCAAAAGAATAGGGGAGTTGATGATGCTGTTGCTGTTTTGTCACATACAATTTTAAGTCACCTTGAGAAACCCAAGACATATGTAAGAGTGTTATTCATTGATTTCTCCTCTGCTTTCCAATACGGTTGTGCCCCATATACTTATTAATAGGCTGTATCATGACATGAATATTAACCCAAACCTGTTGCTTTGGATAGGTGACTTCATGTCAAACAGGTCCCAGAAAGTGAAGTGTAAGGATATTCTCTCACAAACAAGGATCTTAAACACAGGTACTCCGCAAGGTTGTGTCCTCTCGCCTACATTATTCACATTATTCACAAGTGAAGTAGAAGACCAGACAAATTCCTGTTGGAAAGTTGTGAAATATGCAGACGACACTTGCATAATTGGTTTAATTACAGATAGGAATGAGAACATGTATAGAACCAAGGTGGACGACTTTGTTATGTGGTGTAAACAAATGTCACTGATCCTTAATATTAAGAAAACGAAAGAAATGATTGTGGATTTCAGGAAAAAGGATAATGTCATTTTGCCGTTGGCTATTGATCAAGAGGATATAGAGATGGTTTCAAACTACAAATATCTAGGAACCCACATTGACAAGGATTTCAGTTGGAACACCAATACTCAAACCATTGTGTCAAAAGTTAACTAAAGGTTATTGTTTCGCTGAGCGAAATTTATTTTGCGGTTTTTTCAGCAAGTCGAAAATCTTAGAAGAGATTTTTAGAGTTCAGATTCTTTGTTTCATAAGAAAAAAGGTTCATTTTGTTAATTATAATATCAGAAAAGCTAGATATTCATTCTCTTTCAGCCTAAATGAAGCATTTAGGTATTTTATAGAAGGTGAATTGGCAATTTAAATATTTACAATATCTGTTTATTTATGATCGATGTTTTTTATAGTAGGATTTGAAATGGCCTTTTCTTTGAGTATTTGTTTTTGAAGGACACCTTACTTTCGGCTTCGATAATAAGCGAAGCCATTTTAGACACTTGTTCGTGTAGTCTGTCGAGCGTCAAGTCACTGGAGATGAGCTCTCCAGTTTTCCCAGTTTTCCCCGTTTTGTCCTGTTTTTACAGTGACACCAGTGAGCCCAGTGTTTCGGCAGTAAATTGCTAACTTCCGGCCAAAGAATTTGAATTTGAGTCTGTGTTGTCTTCGACTCTTCATACTACTCTTCATTTGAGGAAGCTAATAAAGACTTCATAATCCCATTTCGAGTTTGGAACTTTTGCAATTTGTTTCATGGTCAGCGAACCAGTTATACCTCCTAAGGAAATTGAAAACATTTAATATCAGAAGGGAGACTCTTCTTTTCTTCTATGATAGCATCATCAAACCAATTATCTCCTTCTCCTGTCTTGTCTGGTTCTTCGGTCTCACCTCTCAAAATAAAATGAAACTGATGAGGGTAATGAAAACTGCAAGTAAGGCAATTGGCTTACCGGTTAAACAACTCGAAGAGATAGCTGAATCAGCTGTAATCGATAAGTTCAATTGTATCATTGAGGATGAAACCCATCCTCTACATAGACATATTTTTTTCAACAAATCAGGACGGGTCAGGCTTCCAAAAGTAAAAACAAATAGATTTAGGGGGTCATTTCTCATACGTGCCATGACACTACACAACGACAGGTTCAGGAGGTAATTGTTAATTATTTATTTATTATTTATTATTAGTTACAGAATCAGTTATTAAGGATATATGGATGTACTGCATATTTATTTAAACTCTTGTAATCTGCCTATAACTGTATAATGATATTACCAGTAGTGATCTCTGGTATGTCTATGGTTGTAATTTGTGTGTAATTATGTTTCTATACCAAAGCCTACACTGAATACCAGTCTGTACTCATATTCTATTGTGTGTTATATTTATTCCTGGTTTTGTACTTTGTATAAACTGATAGTACATGTATGTTAATTGATGTTATATACATTGAGAAACAGCCGGGAAATGATTTTTATGCCATGTAAATGTGCATGATCAATAAAATTGAACTTGAACTTGAACTTGAACTTGAAAACATATTTTTATAGACCATTGGTTGAATATGCATGATTTTGTCATGACTGGTATGTTCGATAAATCAATGAACATCCCCAAATTGCTGATGTGAGATGCTTGTAGAATGCTTTACAGGAGAGAATGGGCAATTTGCCAGTAAAAATGGCACACACATAAAATACACAAGCACATTCAAATTATCTGATTTTTGTTTGTTTTGAACATCAATTTTATTGAGGAAAAATTGTACTGTTGTATTTACTTTTAAAAATTGTACGAAATACGGTAAAATTGTACTGGTTGGCAGTTCTGAACAAGTTATAAGCCCACGTCTCACTATACTCACTGTCTCCTTTTCTTGCTTGAAGCTCTTGAGCATAGCCTCTTTCTCCTGTATGATCTCGACCAGCTTGTCGATCTTAGCATTGAGTTTGTCCATCTTGGTCTGGAGTTTGTTCTCCTGCAGAGTGATGTCCAGGAGACTGCCCATGTCACCTACCATGGTGTCCAACTAGAGAGAACAAACAAAGAGAGAAGAATGAAAGAGGGAGAGAAATGAATACAGAGAGAGAAGAATGAAAGAGAGAGAGAAGAATGAAAGAGAGAGAGAAGAATGAAAGAGAGAGAGAAGAATGAAAGAGAGAGAGAAGAATGAAAGAGAGAGAGAAGAATGAAAGAGAGAGAGAAGAATGAAAGAGAGAGAGAAGAATGAAAGAGAGAGAGAGAAGAATGAAAGAGAGAGAGAAGAATGAAAGAGAGAGAGAAGAATGAAAGAGAGAGAGAGAAGAATGAAAGAGAGAGAGAAGGATGAAAGAGGGAGAGAAATGAATACAGAGAGGAACGTTGCGGAGGTTTATCTGTTACAAATCCCAAGAGAATTTCACTTTAACCATCATTGTAAATTCAAAACTTCTCACAGAATTAATGTCTGCAGTGTGATGTCCAAGAGACTGCCCATGTCACCTACCATGGTGTCCAACTAGAGAACAAGGAGAAGAATGAGAGCAAGGTTTGCGGTTTCACCACATATTCATTTGACAGTTGGGTGAGTTGGTGAGTTGCTCTATTTTGATGTTTCAATAGATTTTACCTATCATCTTCAGGATGCGGGTGTAAGGTTGTATAAGGGTTTACATATCTCTTCGACTTGAACTTCATCGGCTGCCTGTAGGACAGAGAATAGCTTTTAAGATCCTACTGCTAGACTACAAGTCTCTCAACCACCGATGTCCCCCGTACATAGTTGACTGCCTGGTTCGTTGTCCTCGAGTCCAAGATACCCGCTTATCATCATCCATCTGGCTCACTCAGTGTCTTTCTAAGAAACGTGCTGGTGAATTGTCTTTCCCATCGGTTGCTGCAAAACTGTGCAACCAGCTACCTATTGCTGTGCAGCAGCCTCATCTGTTGACCACTTCAAGAAATTACTAAAGTCACATCTATTCTGCTAGGAATTACTTTATTACTAGCCTACATATACACGTACTTAACAATCTCTGAAAAGTGACTAACTTTTGTTTATAATTGGCCAAAACATTGTAGAGCGGTGTGTGGAGGGTGTGTGGAGCGCTATGTAACTGCAAGGGAAATGCGCTCTATGAAATATATATATAGTGCAACTCTTGCTTAACAGTACATTACAAATTACACTGACACCATGGCTTTACTGTAACTGCAATATAAGGTAAGGGAGGGTGGGTGGTGTGTGTATGTTGGGGGGGGGGGGGGTACACCAGTTCCCTTTCAGTAAATTTTAGGATCTGAAGACCAATTTTTGGCTTGTTGGACTACTTGATTTGATACTCTAATTTAAATTGGTTAGAGATATCCCTGTATACAGGGCTCAACACTGACCAGTATTTTGGTCACTGGGTCACTACAAGTGTTTTTGGCCCTATACACATGCGAGGTCCTCAAGACTTTGAGTGAATCGCTTTCTACCTAGTAGCCATTTATTTCGTAGAAAGTGAGAAAATTGCAGGATATTAATTCTGAAGTTTTAAGGACTCCTCTGCCTCCTCCTCCTCATCATTTAATTACCAAGGGAGCATTTGCACTGTTGGTCATTCAAACAAATCACCAGCAAATCACTCCATATTTTTAGGCACAATCATACATACCATTTTCCTCTTCTGCATAAACTTCTTCTTGATTTTGGTTGCTTTCAAAACTGTTGGACTCTTAGTTCTTTTCTTCACTCTCCCCAAGATGACGGGTTTGACTGGTGTTCTCTTCACATTTGCAGACTGTATGAAAGAGAAAGGGGAACAGTATAAAACACATGCTAGATTCATGAATATATGGTAGAAACAATGAATACAATCTAGAAACAACAAAAATGGACCTAATATCAAGACTTTATTCCAAGAGTTTCTCAATGAAAAAGCAGCCTGACTGAACTAGGTGACTGGTATGATGGTGCAATATGCATCAATCTTATATTTTCTCTTCACAGCTGAACTTTTCACAGGTTTCACTTCAATTCATATTTATTTCATTTCCAACAGAAAGATAAACAAAGGTATTACATTTCTTCACACATAATTAATTTTTTCTGGGAGCTATACAAATACACTTTGCACAAAATAAAATGATTACAAGAAATTCTCAATTTCTATTGAGGTTTGCCCAATACAGCAGCAATTGATGTACGAGGGTGGATTCCAGCCATACATATGTTATTACACAAAACAAGTTAATTGAATAGCTCATCACAAATTTTTCTTCAAACAAATATCTGTAAGAATAACAACAAGGTTTACTTCAAGTGTTTGGAGTGTAATGCCTAACAAACTTTAAAATCTAGTGCTTAAAAAAAAAAAATCTTCAAAAAAAAAAAAATCTTCAAATAAACAATTACAACAAAGGTTTATTTGATTTGATTGGAGTTTAACGCAAAATAAACTTTCAAAATTTAATAACTATACATAATTACCTTGGATGTCTTAGACTTGGGTTTTTTCTTCAGAGGTAGTTTATTTCTGACTTCTTCAACTGGAGATGGATTTCTCTCCTTGGCTTTTGTTTTCTTGTCTTTTTTCTTCTTTTTCTTGTGAGCTTTCTTAATCTTCACAGTCGAGCCAACCTATTCATGATAAGAAGCAATGAAGTAAAACCATGTCTAATACTAATAATACAATGATTTCTTACAATTGCAGTACTGTTACTATTAGCATATCTTTTGAAAGTTAAGAACATTAACTACAGAGGTAAGTGTTCTATTATAGACATTAGAGTACCTACGGGCGAGAAGAAAATAAATAATATACTAACTTCTTAGTCTAGGCTTCGCCACTTTAAGTTATAAATCGCTTGGTCTTTTCATATTTAAATTCTAATACCATTACTATTAATATGTATTGCCTGTTAATAATTAACAAACAAAAAAAGTTTTGCTCTATCACTCCATAAGGGTACCTACTTTAGATTTGAAAAGATGATTGGTACTAAAAAATCGGAGAATAGCGTTGAAGAGAGCCATAAAAACTTAAGCTTTTTGACTTGTACTCATCAGAGTAAAGCGCAAGAATGAAACAGAAAGCCAAAATCGATCAATATAAACAGAATTTAAAAGGAAACAAGAAAAAAGCTTAAGTTATGGCTCTCTTCAACGCTATTCTACTTTAGATTTGTTATCATTATTAATAGCAGAGTACTTTTACTGAAGCAAGAGAATAACATTTTCAAGTGTGGTCATTCCAGGTATTTGTGTGTTAGTTCAACACTGCTTTATACTCCATTAAGTTTTGAAAGTGAGTTTCTGTTTACTCTGAGACATCAATATTTTGTTATTATGATTACACATGTGACTAAGAAGGAAAATAGGATGGTACGTACCGCAGGGGATGGAATGCTACTCGTGGATGTGACACTGGTATCATGTCTCTCAGAAGGTTCTCTTGCATCAGGATTCTCATCAGGTTTTCTGCTGCCGATGCCTTGTTGACTCTGCCCTTCTAGTGACCTACTGGGTTGAAGTGTACGCTGATCCAAATCAGCAATGGTCAGAAGCTCTTCCCTGATACCATAGGTAGCGGACGCGACGAAACTCTGCCTTTCCGATGATCCTCTCTCGTGCGGCGCATCAAGCACTTCTATGCTGCTGCTGTTGGTTTGTCCTGGATGACTCTGCTCTTTATGCAGCAATCGCTCCCACTCTAGACTGGGTTGAAATGCCATTGATTCTGACGTGTCTGGAGGCTCTAGTTTGACAACAGGAGTAGTGACAGAGTGTGATGGATAAACTGCCTCTGGGTCTACGGGACTAGCGGAGGTGACGGCGTGTGATGGATGCAACCTGTCTTGACTCATCAGAGGAGGGGCCTCCTGGATGTCGCCAAAGTGAAGTGTGTTCCCTCGGATAAACACGTCCTGATTGGGTTCACTCGTCTCCAAAAATTCAGGTGCTGTTGATGATAAATGAGATGAATATTACTGAAAAAGAATATTTCACAAAACATAAGAAAATATGACAAGGGCAAATTCTGGTAACCCGACACATGCTCCGCCGACGATTGCTCCGCCGACATTTACTCCGCAAAACGCGACAATTGCTCCGCGACATTTGCTCCGCGACATTTGCTCCGACGTCAAATGCTCCGCCGACAGTTGCTCCGCCGACAGTTGCTCCGCCGACAGCTGCTCCGCCGACAATTGCTCCGCCGACAGATGCTCCGCCGACAATTGCTCCGCCGACAATTGCTCCGCCGACAATTGCTCCGCCGTCAATTGCTCCGCAAAACGCGAGAATTGCTCCGCCGACATTTGCTCCGCCGACATTTGCTCCGCCTGAAGCGACACTTGCTCCGCCGACAATTGCTCCGCCGACAATTGCTCCGCCTGAAGCGACAATTGCTCCGCCGACATTTGCTCCGCCGACATTTGCTCCACCGACATTTGCTCCGCCGACAATTGCTCCGCCGACAATTGCTCCGCCTGAAGCGACAATTGCTCCGCCGACATTTGCTCCGACGACATTTGCTCCGCCCAAAAAGTGTCCCATAAACTACAAATGCTACTAGTACTACGACAAATGCTTCGCCGACAATATTTTCTTTACACCTATTTTTTTCGTTTCTTTTTTTCTTCTTCATTTTCTGAATGCATTTCTTGAAATAATGTAGATGAAATGAAATGAATGAATGTTGATGAAGTGGGAGGAAAAAGGAGTTACCTAAAAGTCATTTCGAATATACTGAAATAACTTTCCATCTATCACTGTATGTCCCATATAATGTATACTAAACACTCATTACATGTCGTGGGAAGTTTTTAAAAAAAAGTAGAGCAGCAAGCCACATTCCCCAATACGCGCATACCTCCTAGTTAATTTCAAGTAGCTCATCAATATGTAATACCTGAAATTACCTCGATCAATGCATCTTACTAGGTAAAGCATTATGCAATGTAATAGGTAATCATGGAAGTTTAGAAAATAAGTAAGGGGGATTTACCAAGTGTTGATCTTTTTAAGAGTTTTAGAAAGAAACAAAAAGATATTGAATATTTCTCAGCGAAAAAAAGGAACAAGCTTGTTTCGCATTTTAAGAAATGGCGATTTGACTTATGATACTCATGTTGATTTAACTTTTATTCCTGTGCCCCCTCACTCCCCTTTATGCACTGGAGTTCAAACTATGATTTATATGTGTACAGTGTATTTTTTTTTTTTACTATAATGTGTTTTTTTTTTATAACTTTCTTGTCCTTTCATTATTGTTAGTTGTTCTTATACATATTGGTTTTTTTGTTTGTCTAATTATTACCAATGACTTGTAAATATGTAATTTTTATATGATTGAAAATTTAATAAACACACAAATATAAAAAAAAAAGTTTAGAAAATAAGGGCTCTTATATACGTAAGGAAGAGAACCCATTCAGACGGGAAAATGAGATGGCAGCCTTTCTGCTTATTCACATTTATACAAATCATTTTGTTGCAGTTTGATGTTAGTTCGTCATGATAAGCCAATTGCTCTTCTTCCGGTGGCTTCGTGAGTCCCTTAAATTATTTAGTGAAAACAAAGTACTCGAATGAAACGGAGTGTTTTGCACACTAACATATATATATTAAAGCTACATACACTTAACTAAAGGAAAGAAACCTTTAGAAAATGGACTGGATATTATTGAAAATATTATTCTAAACAAGAATGTACTACATGATTGTATTACTTTACGTTTCAATTTCACGAGAGAAATAGAACTCGAGAGGGGGAGCAGAGAAGAAGTGATGGAAATGAAAGAAGACTAATAGCATGAGAGGAAAGAAAAGAGCAAAGAAGACAAGAAAACGGTGTAAACAGGAAAAGGAGGAGCATGGGAGAGAGAGAGAAAGAGAGAGAGAGAGAGAGAGAGATAGCCTTGAGCTTTGGATCAGCTAATGAGTAATACATGAAACAGATTTTGAGCGGAGTAATTATCTTTCGCCGGAGAACTTGCGTAAGGAGCTATAATTTTATTTTTTATTTTTTTAAATCAAACATTATGGGGAATAGCAAAAAACGGTTGTCTTTTTTGCTCTTTTCTTTCCTCTCATGTTATTAGTCTTCTTTCATTGAGGTAATTTCAGGTCGTACATATTGATGAGCTGTTTGAAATTAACTAGGAGGTATGCGCGTATTGGGGAATGTGGCTTGCTGCTCTACTTTAAAAAAAAAAAAACTTCCCATGACATGTAATGAGTGTTTAGTGTACATTATGTGGGACGTACAGTGATAGATGGAAAGTTATTTCAGTATATTCGAAATGACTTTTAGGCAACTGCTTTTTCCTCCCACATTATCAACATTCATTCATTTCATTTCATTTACATAATGTCATGAAATGCATTCAAAAAATGAAGAAAAAAAGAAAGAAACAAAAACAACCCGTGAAAAAAAAATATTGTCGGCGAAGCATTTGTCGTAGTACTAGTAGCATTTGTATTTAATGGGACACTTTTTGGGCGGAGCAAATGTCGTCGGAGCAAATGTCACCGGAGCAAGTGTCGCTTCATGCGGAGCAAATGTCGTCGGAGCAATTGTCGGCGGAGCAAATGTCGGCGGAGCAAGTGTCGCTTCAGGCGGAGCAAATGTCGGCGGAGCAAATGTCGGCGGAGCAATTCTCGCGTTTTGCGGAGCAATTGACGGCGGAGCAATTGTCGGCGGAGCAATTGTCGGAGGAGCAATTGTCGGCGGAGCATCTGTCGGCGGAGCAATTGTCGGCGGAGCAACTGTCGGCGGAGCAACTGTCGGCGGAGCACCTGTCGGCGGAGCGTTTGACGTCGGAGCAAATGTCGCGGAGCAAATGTCGCGGAGCAATTGTCGCGTTTTGCGGAGTAAATGTCGGCGGAGCAATCGTCGGCGGAGCATGTGTCATGGAACCCAAATTCTCCCTCAGCAAGGGTAATAAAACAAATCAATACACTTTCAAAATGAAAAAAATTGTTTTGGTCCTTTCAAACCACCTCACTGTGATACTGTATAGTTATATTTCAATAAATATGCCAATGCATACTTTCAACATGCTATTTTTTTCTTCTTTTCTCTTAAAGCTTATCTGTACTAGTTTAAAGGAGGGATTAGACCACACTGTAATTTCACTGGACAGGTGGTTATCTCATCAACTCAGCTCTCAATTAACATAAGAAAAAGAGGAACACGGGGGACCAATGGTCACCGCTTCAGGCATTGTTTTCTATATAGAGGGAGCAAGTAGCTACCAGTAGGACAGTTTGGCTTTAAAGCACCCTTCGCATACATGTCGCAAAACCACATTTCTTTTAATTTGGACCAAGAGAAAACGATTTTCTACCGAGAAGCCTGCTTTCACTGACCTGTAAGCTGAGAGAGGATATCTTCTTCATCCGCGTCCTCACTCTGAATCAGATCAAGAAGCTCCTGTTGGAATTCAGTGCTGAGGTTCATGATGTCCACACTGTCAATTGTATCCTCGGAGCGGCTCGGTGACGAGGCCAAGTGACTGAATCTGGAAAGAAAAGCAAAGACATAATTTATTATAAGATGGGTAGAAAAATCCCTGCAATCAGATTGGTCAATTACTATGTAGTTATTTTTAATGGATGCATGCGATATCAGGGATCGATACCACCAATATCCCTTTTTTGAAATAATTCTCATAATTTTTTTATTTTTTATAAATATTTTTTTAAATAATTTTTTTTTCTTCTCCAATGCACAAAAAATAATTTACTGTAGCCCAAAGCATGGTCAGAGCAATGTTCTGCCCTGGTAAAAATATTGACTTCATTTTTTGAAATTGCATAACATGGTAATTCATAATGCTGAACCAGCTTGAAATGTGTGACTATATGTGTCTGTTTATTTTGATTCTGGCAATTGTTTTATCGTCTTTCTCCATTTTTCTTAGATCATGGAGATTAAATGTTTGTGACTGATGATTGTTTAACCCGACTGCTGAGGAAGCAAGTGTTATACTTGCAACCAGGGACCCATTTCACAAAGCCTTTTTTCCATGACAAAGGACAAATATCAGTGAAAAATCTGCTGATAACCAATCAGAAGCAATGATTTCAGTAGCTTATACAAACATCTGTCATTTGTCACTGATGACAAGTTTTGTGAAACACCCCCCAGGGGACCGACAGCTTAAAGTCCTCTCCGCAGGATTCAGTGTAATGAGGATGAATGCCTTACCCAAGCGGGCATTGACCTGGTTTTGAACCTGAAACCTTCCAGTTACGAGATCACTGCTTTACCACTAAGCTTTCCCGCTTCCTCCAACAGTAGTAGTAATGGATTTTGTTTATATTTTTCTTTTGGGTTACTGGCTGGGCAAACTAGACTAGGTTCTAACTTTTGATGGTCACTTACAGTGAACTGCACTAAATTCTTCAAACCAATAACGGTAACATAATTTGTAAAGTTGATATCTGTGCAACAATAGCAGGCACTTTATGATTAGGGGGAGTATCGTGGCCAAGTGGTTCAAGGCGCTTGACTGGAGATGCAAAGGTCAAGGGTTCGAAAGGCATACCTGTTAAATCTGCCAGGGGCCTTCTTCGCTTTGGCCAGCATCATACGCAGCTTCTTCTGCTGCCAGACTGGCTTGGCAACATCACTCAGCAGACCTTGGATTTTCTCCTATTGACATAAGCATACAAGTTTACCATTAAAATCATTGAAGTTGGGTATCTGAAATGTGCGGTGTTCAAGTCAGAATTATCTTAAACTTTCATAATATAGATTTCAACACATCTTCTAGAGGCAATGACAAATGAAGAAAAAGAGCTTTGTGTAACTTTATATTCAAATCTGAAACCTTTTTCAAAATTTGAGATACCCAGCAGCCCTCCAACACAAGAGAAAAAAAATTAAAAAAACATTCAAAACTTGCCTTTAATTATGCAAACCACCTGCTTATTTTCAAAGCAAATATAAACAAAATCTGAAGAAATTAGGAAATACTTGCAAAAATGTGTTAGTTCCTTGTTCCTCACGTATATCCCATGTAGACTAAATGATTCTCCCTGTTGTTGTTTTGTTAGAATGTTGTCTTTTTTTCCATTTAAGAAAAATAAATCAATTTGAGGAAGCTAGTTTAAAGGTACTATGTCCCATTTGCAGGCCCAAAAAATGAAAAGGTTAAATTCCAACAGCATTTGAAAGATAATATTAATTTAGAACTTCCCTAAAAAAGGTGGGATTCGAAAATGTCTTCAAGTGGGAAAATAACAACTATTAGTTGTCAAATCGACTTAGGAGCTATAGAGCCAATAAGTAATAGTCTTGATTTTCAGACCATTGTACCGAATGGTCATACGTTTTATGGTGCGCAAAGATTCAATCAGTTTAATTTTGGCCATCACAAGAAATGGGTTACTGATGTAGACAAATGCTCATGTACCCTTTACAGCTCAATTTATATATGTTATTACCAAAGAAGAAAAAAAGCCAGTCAGTCACTCAATAGTGTCTGACTGTGAAGTCTAGCAAGTAAACGGGTTTCCTTGCATAATTTGAATATTAGGGCACTGCTAACGTTTAAATTTCACAGATAGGACCTACATGACATATTCATAATTCCTGCAAAGTTCTACAGAATTTGAGGTTGGCTCCAAAAGGGAAATAGTACCTTTAAAAGAGAAAGAAAGAAAGAAAAGTACCTTGAATATATGTCCTGCGTCCGGTTGTTCAGCATCTTTATTGGTTCTCAGTCTGCTCCTGGCATTGGTGAGGTTTGGACGGGGGTTCAGACAAGATGAACGGGCAAATGATGGAACGTCAAGGCTAGACTTGTCGGCCACGATTTCTCCAACTTTACTTTGAACAGGTTCCTTGTGCTTTAGGCTGCTGTCCTTTGTCCCAGATGAGGAACTTGGCCTAATGTCTTGATCATATCTGTTTGGAGTTAAACTTTCCATGTGACACAGGGTTTTAGATGCACCTTTGCTTGACTCACCGGTAACAGTTTCTCCACCTTCAGTTGTCACCATTTCTTTGTGCTCTGAGTTGTTGTTTGCAGTTGAGGAGGTACTTGGTCTTATATCCCGAACATCTGTACCTCTGATTGAACTTTCCACGCGCCTGTGGCTCTTAGATGTAAGTTTGCTTGACTCATCACTTATGCTGTTGTCTGTTCTCGCAGTTGAGGAACTTAGTCTTATGTCTTGACCATTTGCACTTGTACCGGTAGTTGAACTTTCCTTACAATTCTGGATCTCAGATGTCAGTTTGTCTAATGAGGGTGGACACCGAATCTCTGTACTCCATTTTCCATTTCCCTCCTGCAGAGAATAGAATGACGATACCGGGGCTGCTGACAACTCAGTCTGAAGAGTGGATGTTGGAAGGGTTGTTGAAGCTGTTTCAGAAACTCTTGCTTCATCTGAAGATGTTGGCCTTCCCATTTGAGAGCTCATTTTAGAAGTCTCTTTGTCTGCAGCTTGAGTACAATGAGAATGAGGTTGACATGATACCTCTTCAAACCTTGTCTTACGGTTTGGCAGTGCTGATGACGATGACACTGTTGGGTGAGTGGGTTTCAGAAGGAATGCAGAACGATCGGCAGCCTTTTTAGAAACACTTGCTCCATTTGAAGAAGTGACTTCAACAATGTCAGGAGCATTATCTTTCGCGTGAAGGGCCTCACGCAAATGTATTTCAAATCTGTCAATTGCAGAAGTTGCTTTTGGGAGTATTTTATCACTTTCAGTGGGATTACCAAGAGACTTTGATTCTTTCACAGTGCGTTGCATTGGTGGTTGGTAAGACGTTGCTGAAGGATTGTTCTGCAATGAAGCTGTGGACTTCTTTTTCTTTTTAAATTTTCCTTTGAAAGGTTTTGGAGTGTTTGGAGTGTTCCCAGTCTGTCCTTGCTTATTTCTTATTTTGGGGGACACTTTCTTCTTTTTCTTCTTCTTCTTCTTTGGTGTTGGGCCTCCTGCGATCTTAATATTTGGCTCAGATTCTGATCGCATGTCCTTCTTAACCAAGTCTGGGTGGGCTTGTTTACTAGGTTCGTGTTGGTCTGATGGCTTTTCAGAGTGACTGCTGTGGGCAAACAATTCCTGAGACGCTACGGAATGTTGTGTTGCCTTTACGAAGTTCACCGTTGTTGTCACATTGTCTCTTTTCACATTGGCCTTATTTTCCTCCTCCTTCCTCTTCCCACCATTCTTCTGCACCCTGAGTTTTACAGTTTTCTTAAAAATCTTTTCACTCCGTTGTTTTACAGCCTGCGTTGGAAACCTCTGTCTGGATTTAAATGCATGTGAGTTGTCCCAACTTGCACTGGGCTGTTCAAATCTTTGATGATAAGGTCTTACAGCGTGAGCCGATGTTCCAAACCTCTGTCTGGGATCAAATGCACGTGAGTTGTTTTCCCAGCTTGGTTGTTCAAATCTTGGGTAAGGTGGTCTCCAATAGAATGGGTTGCGAGTCTGTTGCCAGTCTCCTTGGTGATGTCGAGACTGTCCTCCATAATGATAATCCCTGTTGGAATCTTGATGGCTCTGTGGATACTCTACATGTTGGAAGCGACCTTGGCTTGGGCTAGCGTTTGCGGGTCGGGGTGTCTCCCATTGAGTTGATGTGATCGTCGGGCTTTCAGATCTCTCGGAACAGCTGTGAAGAAAAGAAAGTCCACTTTGAAATCATCACTGATTGAATGGCAGGGAATGATCTCCATGCATAAATTGATAAAAGCTGCACATAGATTACCAACACATCGTTCCAGGTAAAGTAAGAACTACACAATTTTCAGGTAAAAATGAGAGTGGTAGATAAAATCAAATGGAAATGTTTTAAGCAAATCAAGTTTAAAAACAAAATCTCAACTTATGTTTAATATCTTGGCTTTCGTCTTTTTGGCATACACACACACACACATTGAGAAGACAAAGTGTTTTAAATATTTAACAATTATATTTAACAATTAATTATTTTCTGGATATATAGTTATCTACGCCCATGTAGTACACTCTGTATACATAGGAGTGTACCCGTCTCCAAGGACAGAACAAAAGATCTGTATAGTGAATGTTAAAGATAAAGACCAGTTATGGTCCTGCGATTGCATTGTGAAAGAAACGTTGTGGAATCGATCAGAAAAGGCTAATCATCTAGCATATAAGTATTGGTGTGTACTGCAAGGTTCTGGAAACATCAATATGATAAGAAATTTGGCCCAGTCTTAGTAAAGTTACAAGCACTGTACACAGAAAGATGTACATGGGACTACACGACATGTGTGCGACACCTATCAGGTCCAAATAGATATAATATTTTACCAAATATATCAATTACATGTAGTAGGCGGTTTCTCGGCAAAATTTGTATCATTACGTATAATTAGTCAAAACATATATTATTTCACATGATTGGTAATAGAGCTTCCATTTCATTCTTTGAGAGGGGGGCATTTCCAAAACTGGTCTATACCTTTAAAATGATACCCAGGTATGTCTTCACTTCACAGATACTGATGACATTATTTACAAGAAATAAATTTAGGTACATAGCTGTAGAATGATCAAATATACTCAAACAGCATTGAAATGAATATACTATTTAAAAAAAAATTAATGAAAGAATACAAACTAAATAAATAAAATGAAAAAAATAAACAAGCAAATAAAATTAATAATGAAAAACCAAATCCACTCCTGACCTTGCTGCAGAAGCAGGAGCTGTAGGTTTGACCTGACGAGGGTCTCCCAGTCTCTTCCTTCGTTCAACAAGTGAACGCTTATGTTGGTCACTGATCAGATGCTTCCCATATGCATTCAGGTTAAAGCTCTCAAACATGCACAAGTTGCAGTGATGCTTGGTTCTAAAAAGAGTGTGAAACATACAAATATAATACAATTTACAGTAAGACTAAGAGAAAGTTGTATCTCACTAGATACTGGATGTGTAAGAGAGAATTTGAACGAACTTCCTTCAATTGAAAATAGCCCATCCCTGGTAACATTTAAAGCTATTTAAACTCAAACAAAATTGATAAGTCTTTCCACACGCAATGCGCTTCTGTCATCACAAAGTTAGCGTGGATGTGTCTGAAGAGGACATTTTTGCTGACCAAACCATACAGATACAAATGCAAATAGATATGGGATACGAATAAGCTGTGTAGAACATTAAAGGATTGCCTTCATCTACAGACTACAATGTAGATTTTATATGTAGATGCGCGCAAGGCAAGGTACACTCAATTTGCACTAATTTTAAACCATGGGTTATGTAAATGAGGGTTTAAACAATGGGTTATATTTAAACCTTCTTTGTGAATTCAGGCCATAAGGTATAGCTCCGTCTTTAAATAATTCTCGCCCTTCACCCTCTCAAATGTACTTAATGATAACATAAAACATTTTAGATCTACATGTACCTTAAGGTAAACCCTCAAACTCATACTCATACCTTAATGCCTTATTGTTTAAAGCCTTATGATGAAGCATAGACCATAGATGTTCCTCAAATTGTACTGATGAGGGATAGTCCAGCTTGCAGAGTTTACAAACAAACTTTGGCTTTTCTTTTTCCATCGTTTCATCCATACTTGATCTTGATGTATTTCTGGACAGTCAAGAACAAAGGAAAAACAAGAATTCAATTATCAAATAGATGCAATTGTAAAGTTACACTGTACAATTAATAAAATACTAATCACAATATGGGAGATTGGGATCAACTCTTATGGAAACTTGAAAGACTCAAGATGCTTAAGTTCTTCATGCCATCAGCCTAGTAATCATGGTAATAGTATAATTAATATGCTTAATCTTGAAGCACTAACATCATTCATGCCCATACAACAGATTAATATTTTTAATAATAAATAGAATAAACTCGAAATCAGTTACAGCACGAAGAACTTCGTGCATTGAGCGCTATGCACTGTGTTTACGCGCTCTCATTGGCCGATCCACTCGAGTGGTTTCAAATTTTAGTGAGGGCCTACTTAACTTATGTGCAACTTAAGTTCAATGGCAATGTCAATTCGTAATATTAGGTCACACCACAGAGATTTTGACATGTCATGCTTTAAAGGAACTATGTCCTTTTTGTAGCCAACCTCAAATTCTGTAGAACTTTGCAGGAATTATGAAAATGTGATGTATGTCCTTTATGTGAAATTTAAACGTTAGCAGTGTCCTCATATTCAAATTATGCAAGAAAACCTGCTTACTTGCTAGACTTCACTGTCAGACACTATTCAAATTTAAATTCAAATTCCAATTTATTCATAAGTGACTGACTGGCTTTTTTTCTTCTTTGGTAATAACATACCGAAAATGAGCTGTAAAGGGTACATGAGCAATTGTCTACATCAATAACCCACTGCTTGTAATGGCCAAAATTAAACTGATTGAATCTTTGCACAGCATAAAACGCATAACCATTCGGTACAATGGTCTGAAAATCAAGACTATTACTTTTTGGCTCTATAGCTCCTAAGTCGATTTGACAACTAATATTCATTATTTTCGCACTTGAAGACAATTTCAAGTCCCATCTTTTTTAGGGAAGTTCTAAATTAATATTATCTTTCAAATGCCGTTGGAATTTAACTTTTTCATTTTTTGGGGCCTGCAAATGGGACATTGTACCTTTAAACAGGTGACGCACTTTACACATAACTGACGCACACATGAAATTGCACACATAAAATTGAAAAATTAACAAACATTTCAGAATAAATTTCCATTTTGTACCTTAAATATATATGACGAAAATGAGAATTGTTCAAACATAAATAATAGTTACGTAAAACTTAAGTGTATTACTTAACCTTTTAAGGATGCTGAAAAAATCGTAACAAATAGAGGGTTTGACTGAAAAATCATAACTTTGGTATCGAATGAAACGGAAAATCGCAAGCTTGCTCTTCGATCAAATATCTCATAACATTGAGTGAATGGAAGCCAGCGATAGCCAATAAGAAGAGCCCTTGTCGGCGCAAATTTAATAAAATGGACTGCGATTCGCCGAGATTGGGTGAACGTTTTGTGCATGCGCTAAATTAAATGAAAGCTAAAGTTCTACGTGTACAGCCAAGACAGAAAGAGAGAAAGACTACAAAGTATTATAAAATAGCTCTAGTATTTTAAGCATCGTGATTGGTCAAAACGCATCACATGACATGCAAGATCGTGCCAAAAAAGCGCTGTAAAAAGTGATATTGCATGCTAAAAGATCGATATCCAGCGCAGCATTTTCTAGTACCAACATATCTCTCCTAGACTCTAACGTTAGATTGTTCGTTTTGATTTTCATATCACATGTGTCGCTATTTTATAAAACAAATAACGCACTTGACCCTGTTGTGCATAATGTAAATGCAGTGTACGCGTACGCTCCGTTTCTTCAGATGGTGCGCACTGTGAACTCGCTTCGTGCACAGAGGCGGCCCCAATCTATAGAAACCTCGCACGCACTACGGTACATTCACCACTAACGAACACTGGGCAATATACTTGGGTATAGTCTACTTCTAGTCCTATTAATTTATACCAAGGTTTTCCAGGCCTAGACTTGGTACTTAGTTGTTGTTCCTCCAAAAGATTCCTACTCCTACTAGGTCTAGTGGAATTTAAACTGCGCACCATCTGAAGAAAAGAAGCGTACACTGCATTTACATTACGCACAACAGGGTCAAGTGCAATATTTGTTTTCCTGGTTTTAGACTAGTTTTAGACTAGTAGAGACAAAGTTCAACTTCTGGCCAAAGTTAAAAGTAATGAAAGTCCCATTCCCAGACAACTAGCCTAACTAGACTAGGGCAGGGGTCTATTATTATTAATTATTTTTTATTAAAAAAAAGTATTAAAAATCTCACTTTTATTTACGATAGCGTCATCAGCATCGCAGTATCATTGTCAGTATTCATGTTGATTACACCATAAATCATGTTGATTACTGTGTCACTCACTGTGCAGTACACTGATTTTTTCCATCAACTTGTAATGTAGATCTAGTTGTAGACTGTAGAGTGTAGTGTCGATGTCGTCTCTAACTTTGAGTTCCAATGCACGTGCAGATATGTCTAGGCAAGATCGCCGCTTTTCGCCCCGTACTTCCCGGGGCCGGGCGCTGGCTTGCCTTGTTGACGACCGACGTGGTTTATGCGATTCAGACCAAATGGGGCCGGGCAGCGCAGGCGTGCATATAACAGGAAATCTGATTGGTTGTTATTAATAGTTACGTTACTCCTGAACCAATGATGCGAGTCAATGCAAAAAAACTGCTTCCGGGTTAACCCTGTAGATCGAATAGGCGTTCACCGAAAAGGATATTTTGCTGTAAATACTTGGTTGCTCCTCTCTGGATTACACTATATAATCGCAGGTAATAATCGTTCGAAGCTTTGAATTGTATGTGGTGAATGGTGTGATTTCTGTGCTTTATTTTGAAATAATAATTAGTTTTATTGATTAGTGCTGTCAAGTTTGATTCTTGGCTCAAATTCGGGGGAAAGCACCGTACCGCCACCGGTTCGATCAACGGTAACGTCTGTAGGAGTAGGCTAGGGCTTAGGCCCACACAGCTTGTGTTGTGCCGCTGAGGCCGCTGAGCTGAGGTGACAATCACCTCGGCGCGGTTTGACCTAGGCCAAGGCCAAGACAGAAATTAATTCTGGTATGGAGAATTATAAGATAGAACTTACATTGGCGCTAGTTCAGAAGTCGGCGCTTGTTCAGAAACCTATCCAAAATTTGACCCGTAACTCCGGCGTGAACATAGGCTAGACCAGGGATATGTGAGTCAAATGGATATTCCGTCTCGAAAGAATTTCCCGAGGGAAAGATATTCAAGATTAACTTGGCTTAACAACAAGTAATGTAACCCTCTTCAGCAATCAAATCCATCAACAGCCGCCCTTATCAGACCACAGATGCCCTCTGGCAATCCAAATGTTACGAAATGTTACGCAACACGGTCTGCTTCCCTAAGGCTAAGCTCTCCAAACACTTGGTCGTAAAAAAAAGGCTTTGAAGCCATGCGAGTCACCGAGAAAATGACGTCATACTCATGGAAGATGTAAAATACAAAAATCGACAACTTATGGCACAATACAACCTTCTATTGGTTATCAAATGCTTTCGCTGTGCTCGGATAACTCTACTGAAGACGTAGCCATCTGAACCAGCGAAATCGACCAAGGAAATCGTGAGTTAGAGTGAATGCAATTTTCTCATCATCATCGTGTTCTCTTCTAATTATTGACATTTTCCGAAAGTTTCCGAAATTTTTACATAGCTAGGAAGGTAGTCCATAAGTTTATCTCTTAAAATAACTAAATGAAATTGTGTTGTATATTTGCGCATTTGGTTTAAAGAGGGTTAGAAGTTGTCAATTCATCACCACTTTTCACCCCGAGTACGGGCAGGCGACGCGCAAGCCGCCGTGCTCGCTGGGCTGTACATGCTGCATGTTGTGGGAGGAAACACACATAGTTGCATTACTACCCTGGCCGTATATTAAAAATTGTGCTATTGATTCTCAACATTTCAAACATCACTGTACAAAACTCAACTGATTTCACTCAAAGTCAGTACTTTAGTGACGATTGATGACACCTAAAGAGCATTAAAATACAATTTGTTAAACTTTCCGATGTTAGAAAGAATAATTTAAAAATTAAAATCGTGAGTCTACTGTCAAACTTGCCGATCAACCGCATCGGTATAATTATGTGCATTTGTATGTCGTGAGTGTATTGACTATTCATGTATTCAAATGCTGCCTATTTACACGTACTGCAGTGCTAGTAGTCAATACGCATCAACTATCTATGTTTTGCTGGAGTGGCCTACACATTCACGATGAAACCATTTAACCATACGTTCTGGTTTGCTGCAACGATTAAGATTTTCCGTTGATGGAATTTCACACGTGCATATTAAACTTGTGTTGGTCTCCAACTTCCCATAAATTAAATCTTCCTCAAAACCAGTCAAAAAGTCTAAATCGTCGCCTAGCAAATACTCATCCCTACTGTATGCCGCCATTTTTGTTGATAGCAGCCGGTGTGTATTTCCAACAATGCATTTCGCGAGCCCTATGTCACTCAGTTTCGGGAGTGAGATTTACGAGCTGTGCGGTCTGGGAGGGGGATTAAGGGGATTATGATAGGGGAAAAAAAGACTCTCGGTGCCTCGCAGTGCTTCAAAGGGCCCTCTTAGATGGGGTATCCATTTAAACTCACATATCCCTGGCTAGACTAGACTAGATCTACACAAAATGAAGTAGGCCTAGACCTAGGATCTATTAAAATATTCATTAAATGTCCAAAGAAATAAAGATCATGAGTTAAAAGTTGTTATGTTTCTTTCCTGTTTCGTGTCGATTTTCTTGTTATCTTTTGGAGTATTTTTCGGAAAAATGTTGATATTAGTATACTTTTTCACAGGTTTCACGGCAAACCGCTGCACAATACAACGCATACCGATGCGGGCGGGCGCGCGCCTGTGTGAAGTTATCTACCGTAATGGGGATCTGAACTGAGACATTACTGGTCTTGGGGAAAAAAATCCTAGGTATGAGATAAGGTGTTTGTACTGCGCTGCCCATCATCCAGAGGCGTACTTTTATGCCGGAGCAAGCTAAAGACTTCCTAATCATGGTGTCTATTTTTATTCCCAATTCTTCTTTATTCCTATTTGATTTTGCCAAATCTTTGTTCCCATTTGCCAGATTTTCTGGTACGCCACCGGCCACTGCCTACGTCTACGTCTATGCTGGTACTTGTCAAAAGCCTTTTCAGCAACTAAACGAGGATATTGTGGTGTGGTGTCTCTCATAGTGGTCATGATTGATTAGTGCATAGTGCGTATATACAAGTTGTGCGAGTAAAAACAGCCGTTATTAACAGCTAAGCGTTGCTGAACTGGAAGTTGTGCAAAAGTAAAGGTTCATCATACTAGCATTGCGATGCGTTATGTTGCCTTGTCCCACCGCACGTACTGCTGAACCCGGCGGTATCATTGAGCACAATTGACTTTAAAGATAAATACCAGTTATGGTCATGAGATTGCATTGTGAAAGAAACGTTGTGGAATCGATCAGAAAAGGTTGATCATCTAGCATATAAGTATTGGTGTGTACTGCAAGGTTCTGGAATCATCAAAATGATAAGAAATTTGGCCCAGTCTTGGTAAAGTTACAAGCACTGTACACAGAAAAATGTATATGGGACTACGCGACATGTGCGTGCACGTGTGCGATATCTATCAGGTCCAAATAGATATAATAATTTACTAAATATATCAATTAGTAGGAGGCTTCTCTGCAAAATTTGTAGCATCGCCACCATGTATTAGTCAAAACATATTCTTTCACATGATTGGTAATTGGAGCTTCCATTTCATTTTTTGAAAGGGGGGCATTTCCAAAACTGGTCTTTACCTTTGAAAGTCTAAAAAATAGTTTTAATTTAACACAAAACTTTTTTTCTTCATCCAATTTTTCCCAAATCATGTACAGTTCTTTCAAGCAGATTGTATCTACACCCTGGCCACCCCCCCCACTCAGTGTTATTTAGGGTACGCATATATGCTTTTTTTTCCTTCACGTTGCTCTTTTTTGTGCGTACATTTTGTTGCGTAAGGCCAGATTTATTCTTGAAACGCTGATAGTGTGACCACTGACCACCAGCCGCCGTTTAATTCACACTCACAGGCTCAAACACAAGCAGTTGAGCTTTTGCAGACGGCAATAGAAACGCAAGGAAAAGCTCTCAAAGTTGATTTTTTTTTTTTTTTTTTTGCAAGCGTTTTGATATTGATCTGTAGGCTAGCAAAAAACGGAGTTAGCATGCAATTTTCACCGCATAATCCGGTGAAAAATTATGTCAAGAGTTTAAAGTAGTTTCTTAATCTAAAACTTAGGATTAACCTTAACTTAACTTTAATCTGTCCAGTCTTGTGAAGCTACAATGTACTGTGTGCAATGAGATTGGCAATCACAGGGTGATGCATTGTGTAACCTCCCCTCACTACCCCATACAATGCTCTTGATTGAGTACAGGTATCTGTTTAGAGGCGGTTAGTAGAGCCAGGAGTACATGTAGTTTTGGTCTATGCATGCCTAGACCGAAAGCTTTGATCTTCATATTGATGGTTTTTCCACTGAGAGTGACACCTATCATTGTAAAAAGTTCTTTTGCCGGACTTTATCATTAAATAATTTTTAATGATGTTGATTGGATATAAAGCCATAGAATGACAGATGCGTATTGGCCCATTGATGTACTATTCAGAGTAAATTGTACTTGTCAATTTCTTGACTTGATTATTCAAAAAGGGGTTTTTATTTTTAAATAAGCTCTTTGTCAACTTAAGAGAAGCCCGAAACCAAACCAAACCAAACAAGATACATGTCTTGGATTTTACATGATGTAGACAACAGGTCAAGGTATAAATTCACATAGTTTCATCTCTACATTCAAATATCCAAGGTTCACTGTACTAGTAAAATTCACGGTTCAAGTGCGATAGCCGATAGGTCTTTCAACGGCAAGTAAATAATGTTCAGACATGAATACTAGTACAGTGCCAACAATTATTGCACATGTATGTAAGTTGTGCTTTATTTTGACACTTACTGCAGACAAAATTTTACAACGCCTTGAGCTTAGTCTAACTTGTTTGTAGTTCTACAGTACATGAACAAAACATGTACATGTAATGTTGTACATGATTATTTCATTGTTTTCTCAGTTCTACATTTACATGTAAATTCATGCATGATTCAGGCAACAAAAAAAAAGCGCTTTGCTTTCAGTGCTGTCATCTGTGCTGTCATCTGTCATGATGCCAGGTGAACACATTCAACCCACATGTATAAGTGTGCTGGACTTGACATTTTGCAGTACATGTACATGGCAAAACAGCCTTTAAATGGCTCTGTTGTTTTGAATTATAGTATATAAGGGTCACATAATATAAAGTTTCTTTACATTTTGATAAAGAAATTTGACATAATGTTTTGAATTCTAGTAGTGTTTTATTCAATTATCTAACATGTGCTGGAAGTTGTTGTTATGTCATTTGACACTGAAAAAGAATCCAGGGGTTGGTATTGTGAAAAACGATGTCATCTTTGATGTTCGTTCATTGACCATGGCATCTACCGAGCATGACATGCTTGCTGACCCATGCATCGGGGGGGGGGGGGGGGGGGGGGGGGGAGGGGAGGGACCTAGCAGAGATCAACAACATGACTCTTACTCTTGCTAGATATTGGGAAGTGGTTGTGTGATGGCTGGAAATGATGATGTTAGTAAAAATTATGTTAATTGCCCTAACAAATAAAAGTTTGGACAAGTCATTGGCTTTGTGTCTGCG